GTTCCAACACTGGAAGTTTTTAAGAAGAGATTGGACAACCATTTGTCTGAAATGATATATAGGGTTTCCTGCCTGAGCAGGGGGTTGGATTAGAAGACCTCCAAGGTCCCTTCCAACCACGTTATTCTGAATTCTATGTTTAATTTATAATCAAAATCCTGACTTGAAATAGCATTTTCTATATTGGACAAAATGGCTAAACCCAACAATTCCTGTATCATTCAGAATAAGATAGGACAGGACAGGATCTTGGAGGTCTTCTAGTCCAGCCCCTTTATCATCACCCTTTGGTTATCATTTTTAAAAATAGAAAATAATCAAGGAATGCCATAACTATTATGAGGAACAGGATAATTCAACTACTCTTTTTTCCCCTGAATAAAATGGCATGGACTTTAACTACTCATAGCTTTAGCCATCTATTGATAACTGAACATACCAAAAACAGAGGAAAATACGAGAATGACTTTGCTTTCACTGTTTTCCTATATAGATAAACCTAGCTTAAAAAGGACTAAAGAACTACACGAGACTTAGAATTTGGGAGCTTTGTTTAAATATTGGCATTTTTTTTCAAAGTTAAATAAGCGTATAATCAGGGCTTTTTTTTGTCATAGAACGCCCAGAACGGAGTTCCGGCACCTTTTTTGGATGGAACCGTGTAGGGTAGGCAAGGCGGGTTGTATGACGTATATGAGTTCCGGCACCTTTTTTTTTTTTAAGAAAAAAAGCACTGCATATACTGTAGATTTTGACTCTAAACTTAAGGTCATTGTCATTGTCAAATGCTTCTGCATTGTATAACATTCCCATGTGCTTTTTTTTGGTAGAAATAGTAAAATATCAAAGATATTGTGTACTTCTAAAATGTTAGACCATTGCTTCTGTTTTAAACCATGGCTGCCTGCGACCTCCATGTATGCTATTGCGGTACTTTAGGTAATGCTTAAAATGAGCATAACAATAGAATATTTCATAATAAGGAATGCAGTACTATTTATGCTTGATAGCAAACCCTAATGAATTCAGTGAGAGTTGCTTCTGAATAATATATGCCAGATTAGCTGATATTGGGTGGATATTTTACATTCAAAAATCTTCCTAAATACTGGTTGGAAGTATGCAAATAATTTCCTGTTTCTTTCTGTTTTCAACTAAACTTGGTCAGTGGTCAATGAAGACGGTAAGGCGTGTATACTGTCTACACCTGTCTGCTGTAATTCGTAAAAATAGCATGTAATAGCTTATCCATTTCGTAGTTGCTTTTGAGTCAGTTAGTCAGATGTGTGCATACTTTCGTTTGTCACTTTGTCTCATAGTTCGTTTGTGCTTGCTGTAAACAATTTCCTGCTATTTTATAGATTGTATTACTGGTCTGACAAAGATAGAATTCATCTTACAAAGTAGGATGTGTTTACGCATTGTCTTTATGAAATGAAAATAATTTCACCTAGAGCAATGGTTCTCAACCTTTCTAATGTCGCGACCCCATAATACAGTTCCCCATGTTGTGGTGACCCCCAACCACTTATACATCACTGGGTACCAGGGGCGTGGCCAAAGAAAAGGAAAAAAATGGCAGACAGCCTTGTTTGGCGACCCCCGTGAAATGGTCGTTCGACCCCAAATGGGGTCCCGACCCATAGGTTGAGAACCACTGACCTAGAGCTTACTTGAGCTCTGTTACACAAATTACACTCATTTGAACTGGGTCTGGGGGAAAAAAAATCAGTGTGGCATGATATACCCTAGAATTGTTCTGTTTGAATTACTGAATATTTACAATTATTTGGGGAGGGTGAAGTCCTATTTCTGCATCCAATTCCAGAATAAACAGGGTCTTTCTACATCTTCCCAAAGTGCTCTGAAGTTTTTGAAGATAATAGATGAAGGATACAAGGAGCATTTAGGGAAGAAAAGAGGAAAATTAGTTTTGTATAAGAGGTCTTACATTACATAGGAGTTTATCCATTATTTAGAAGTCATGTAAAGCTGGTTCATTTTGATGAAATAATCCATCATCCTTTTCTTTAACATACATTTAGAAAATCTTTGCAAACATGACTTAATCAGAAAAAATATCCTTAACATATTTTCCAGTGCAGTTTTATATACTAGATCTGTTGTAAGCAGGTTTGGTTTTTTTAAAAAAAGACGTATCAACATCCATTTTTAGTTAATGTTCTATTTACATCATTTGCATTTTTTAAAAAAATGAATTTAAAATAACATTGAAATATATTGAGCTAATTCTACTATCGATGTCGAATGCTATTATGGAAGCAATGGAAAATGAGACTTGACGCTTGAGTATAATTTACTGTGATAAAAGAAGAAATATTAATAGGTTATTCTAATAATAAAACTGTTCAAATCTAATAATGTGTACAGTCATAATACTGGAAAATGTTTTAGTTTATTTTGTGAATAGGAAAGTTTATATGTTTCTACTGTTCAATATAATAAAAAGTTGCTGGAAAAATTAAGAGACTTAGGAAAAAAGAAAGAGAAGATGTAAATATAATTTCAGCTATCTTTGCAATTGATAAAGAAACATAAAACTTAATTTTCATAAATAAGTAGAATCCATAGCCTCCTTCTGCTTTTGTCAAAATAAGGAGACCAATATTTAGCTGCAAGCTCTGCCCCTTTTGGATATGTGCATCACCACAATATGCACACAAAATAGACAGGGCACACATCGCTGCAGATACTCCTGACAGTTATATTAATTTTTTGACATCAAATTACACAGAACTCAATATAAATTCAATAAATATGGTGGAAAAAACTAGAAACAAATGTTGCTTATTGTACTGAAGGCAGTTATCTGAGATCAGTTTTGAAGACAGCATTCTTGTAAGAATGCCTGGATTTTTCAGTCCCCCATCCCATTCAATTTCTTTGAAACTTGGCTCTCTCTAGCCCTTATGGGATATTTTTTGTGCATGGTGGTGATTCCAGTGTTATATTTAAGAATAGAAAAAGTTCCCAAGAAAATCTTTTTCTTAAGTGGCATAAGAACACCACTAACATCAGTTGAATCGCAATGATAGAATGTAAGATGTTACAAAATCATTATGTTTTACCATATTGTATTTAGGAAGTTCACTTGACAGCCTCTCCTGAAAAAAACTACTGCAGTAAAACTACTGATCTAGAAAAATTAGTATGAAATTATGTAGAAAAGTGGACTTAACAAGCCTGCCTTGTTTAGTTAGCTTCTCTAAACAGATGGTAAACCATTAAAATAAAGGCTTGTAACTTCCTCTTTGGCTTGTAATTAACCAATTAATTTATTAAATTGTTAATCACATGTGTTCAAGTAGGTGGATTTGTGAATCTTTCTTTGTAACAGCTTGTTTATAGTTTGGGGTTTGCTAATTATGTGATAGAAATTGCTTGTATTCTCTTCAATATATTAGGATTTGGAAATGAACTTTCTGTTGATTATTTAAAAAAAGATTTCTGTTTAAATTCAGTCTGTGTTCATGCCAAGTAATTTGATTTAGGGGTATGATGTAATTATTCCCAAATCAAGCTTTCCAGAAAACAGAACGAATTATATCATGAAATTAATTTGCAATCATGTGCTATGGGAAATAAAAAATAGAGGCTAAAAAGAAGTGGCTGTTGGTTTTTAGATTTGGGGTGCTGCTGTTCTTGATTTTCTGTCAAAGAACCAATTTTGTTCTTTGGCATGTGATCTTCCCTGTTTGGAGAAAATTTCAACGTGTTTCAGTGAAGTTTGAGAGTGACTACTTCCAAGCTCTTTAATAGCTTTTCTTCATAAGAAATTTCTTTTGGGCTAAAGAATGACCTTTATTACAGGTAAATGGGTTTGTGAAGACCGATTTTTAAGTAAGAGTTACACAATCAATCTAGATAAATCCTTACTGTAGATAAATCCTATTGCATTCACTCTTGTGCTGACAGCTTTACCAATATTAGTTTTATTTATAGTAAAATAATAAAGAGAAACCTTGTTGGCAAAATACTACACTATGTGTCCTGCACTATAATCACAGTTTTAAAAGCTCCCAACATAATACAAGTACCGTATTTTCCAGCGTATAAGGCGATCTGGCGTATAAGGCGACCCCCAACTTCGGTGCCAAGTTGCATGCCTAGAAAGTCGTGTTATACACCAGAAACTACCATAATTTCCGGTGTATAAGACAACTCGGCATATAAGATGACCCCCGACTTCGGCGCCGATTTCAACCCTTTAGAAAGTCGTTTTATACGCGGGAAAGTATGGTATTCTTGTGTTAAATTAACATTTCATTTGAGTAAAACATGTAACTACTTATGCTGATATTGGTACAAAATTGCTGCTTAACCACAGTTAAAACTGAAATGTATCTTCATTTTGGGAAAGGAGTTTGCATTCCTGAGATTGGCTTCCAGTTTCTAGTTATCAGGGTTTATGTCTTTTTAGAGGAATCTTTTTAAAAAGTGGCAAAACATTTATATGATTTGAAGAAAAAAACCCAAGTATGTATTCTATATTAGCCTTTTTGGATGTTGCTACAGCAAATAGGTTAATAAATCTATACTATTCCTGGAGATTGTTTTTCTCCTTCAAATAATTTCCAAAATTTCGAGAAAATGTATTACAATTCTCTTATTAATATATTAATCCAATTTCCTTTTCTAGAACTTAAGCTTATTATCTCTTGTTCTGTTGTTTGTAATAAGGAAGAATATTGTAATACTCTAAGCATATTGGGAAAGAATATAATAATCCACCACATCCATTTGCAGATTGTTCAATTGTTGCTTTGGAGTAGCAAAGAACAGTAGATCATCAAGATACCAAATTCAGTATTAGATATACGTTTTTTTCTAGATCTATAGTTTGCAGCATTATTGAAGTGGGTAAATTATTTCTTTCAACTGCATTATACAGCAAAGAAATATGCTGTTAGGTTTAGTGCCAACAGAAATATCAGTGGGAGAGCTACCATTTCTAAGTGTTATATTTTCTTTGGTTTCAGGGTCCTTCCCAAGAAGATTTCAGTCACTTGCCACCAGAACAAAGGCGGAAAAAACTTCAGCAGCGGATTGATGAGCTTAACAGAGAACTACAGAAAGAGACAGATCAAAAGTATTTATGTTATTCTGACTCTTGATGCTGATTTTATTTTGCTCTACCTAGAATTTGAAACTCTTTCACTCCAAGCATGCATCTGGTTTGATTTATCATAAATCCTCCTAAGCATTTGGAATTTTGGTTCTTCAGTTGTGATCTGTGTGTGATTCACATTTATAGACTTTGGATGATAACCAGTCCACCTTTATGTAGCACTAAAGCTCAGCTTTTATTCCCAGAAAGATGATGGAATGCTCTTCTTTCACTTTGTAAACAATTATCTTCCCCTGGCTGTGATAAAATGAGAGTTTATTGTTTGAGTAGAATGCAAAGAAAGAATAAATTGATAACCAGCATCTAAATATGTAAAGGAACATGGCAAGAATGAAGATAAGAGTAGTGATAGGAATTATAAAGTGTATGAATAGGGACAATTATAATAGGGAAAGAAAAATGAGATAATTAGTATCTAGGAAGTAAAAACTATAGATAGTCTTCGATTTTCAATGACAATTGGGACTGGAAATCCAGTGTAAGCTGTTACAGTTGTAATGCGAGGCACCTATGTGACCAGACTTATTTTCCTGACATTTTTTTTGCGGTAATTGTTAAGCGAGTCACACAGTCATCAAGCAAATGGTGCAGTCATTAAGCAGACCCATTCTTCCTAATGGATTTTTGGGGGTGGGGCTGGAAACAAAATGTGGTAATGCAGCAACAGGCTGTAAATGGTGGGATGAGTGCAACATTTTACAGTGGCCGGCAGTGATTTAGAGGCCGTTAAAAACACCCATTCTGAGGCCATTGTAATTCCTAATCCGCATAAATCAAGCACTGACTGTATGAATAATCCTTGTGAAAATGATAATAAGTGTCCATGAAAGAATAGTTCACAACCTGTACCTGTGTTATTATTAGACAAAATTTTAATTGTTCCTAATCCAACAGTAGTCAAAATATAATTTCATTCATGTGTAAAATACTGTAGTTCCAGGAAAGAACTGTTAAGAGAGGAGATATCTTTTATATAAAATAAAATCTTATAGAAAAATTCTATGCTTATCATCTTGGGGTGATAACTGAGATAGTATAAAATATATTTATTTGATCCAAAGCAAACTCAGAAAAAAGAAATCAGTCTCACTAGTTCTACCACATAGGCACATCCATATGTACAAATCACAAAAACTGAAGCCAGCTATGGGTTTTCAGTTGATGATGTATAAATTCAGATATTTTTGTGCTTTTTGTTAGGGTTTAATACAACTTTTGAATCTGAGTAGAGGTTAGAAGTGCTGTATGCCACACAAAAGAGTAGTTGTGATATACAAACGGGACAGGTTCCTGCCAAGATCTGTGAAGCATTGGAAGCCCCAACCTTTTTTGTGTGAATTCACAGATTAATGAAGTGAAGAATCACAATTACAGATAAGTAGCCCATTATAGCGCCTTTGGTTTTGGTATACAGTCAGTTCTCTTTCTCCCAAAAGGATGATGAACAGAGGCAGGCTGTTGAACATCATTTGATGAACTCCTGACAATTGCATTTTTCTGTAGAGATGCCCTCATCAAAATGAAAGATGTGTATGAGAAAAATCCACAAATGGGCGATCCAGGAAGTCTTCAGCCAAAATTAATGGAAACTATGAACAACATGGACCGTCTGCGAATGGAAATCCACAAGAATGAGGTTAAAATCTGTTCATTGGATAGCTTTTCAGACAAGGATTAGTATAACTTTTCAGTCTCTTAAGCAAGGCCTTCTCCAAGTTCCAAGAGTCATTCAAATCAAAGTAGGCAAAGTCCTCTTTGCTATAGCATTTCAGCCCATTTGCAACGGCCTCAATGTCTTTGCCAACTCAGTCTAATATTCAGTTGAATGCAGCAATTGATGATAATTATATGGATGGTTTTGTCTGCAAGATACCTAAAAATATTCAAAACTTACATTGAATTGAGCAGCGCAGTGTCTCAGCAATTAAGATACTGGGCTTGTCAACTGGAAAGCTGGCAGCCCAGGTTTGAGACTCGAGCTCCATGCGACAGGATGAGCTCTCTGTCCTTGTCCCAGCTCCTGCCATCCTAGCAGTTTGAAAGTGTACATTTCAGTGGGAAGGTAACAGCATTCCATGATGTCATGTTGGCCACATGACCGCAGAAATTCTTCAGACAGCACTGATTTAACAGCCTTGAAACAGAGATGAGCATTGCCTCCTATAGTCGGCAATGACTAGCAGAGTAAAATCCACAGGGACTCCTTTACCTTTATAAACCAAAACGTTTGTAACTTTTCTGCACTTAATATAATATTTGGAAGTACTTTAGTTAGAAAAATACTTCGGTAGATACAGATTTATTATTTTATTTATTTAAATCTGTCCTGGTTGAAAATAATACACTTCAGGGAATATATTTGGGCAATCTTAATTCTTAAATAAAATTGAAAATTTAGTAAACAAAGACAGTCATGAAGTATAGTTTTACTAGCTGTGGCATTTCAAATGGGGATGAATTTAACTGTCTGGATATTTATAGAGTTTGTAAGTGATGGTTTCATGATAGCTGAACACAGAATTGATTCTGGGTTAAATTTTTATTTCCTTTGACCATACATGCATGTTTGTGTATCCACGACACAGGCTAAACGCTCCTCAATTCTCTAACTCCCTTTAGTGTTTTTTTAATGTTCCTCGGCATTCTTTTCCCTATCACTCCCCAGTTACATTTGTCTGTTTTCTCCTGGAGAGGAAAAAATATGTCCAAATAGTTACTTGCCTATGCGTATTCCTTTAGACCCATATGAAACCAAATGGATAACTGGAACCATAAAGGTTATATTGGAAGCTGTCATTTTGTACTGCAGTATGCCAGTGCCTTTAAAAAAACAACAACTTTACAACAATCTAAAAGTACATACATATGTACAAGAAATATAGCCTGCGGGGGTTCCAGAAATATCCTGGACACCTAAACAGAATTTTTATATTTCATCCTGGCACAGGTAACCGTTTTTTTTCTCTCTCTCTTCAGGCATGGCTTTCTGAAGTTGAAGGTAAAGTAGCAACAAGAGGAGACCGAAGGCACAGCAGTGACATCAACCATCTCGTAACCCAAGGAAGAGAGAGGTCGCTATATTACACTTTTTTCTGGTCTGCCAGTAGATTTCTAAAACAAGTAATCTAGTAATTTAGGTAATCTAGATACCTAAAATACAGAGCAAGGCAAATCCTCTGAAAGTGGTGTTTTGCAATAGCAAGCACATACAGTATATAAAACATCTCTCTTCTGACATACAATAACAATCAGGAACAGCCAGACATACTTAGAAAGTACAGCTGACAATTATTGGAAGAGATGTGCACCAAATATGTTCCTTGGATTGCAAAGCACCTCCTTGCACAGGTGTGCCTTCTCTGTAGCTGCACCTGTCTTCTGGAATAAGGTTCTCCCTCAGATTCAGATGCTATTTTTGAGAAGAGCCTTGAAGATATTTTACCCAGTCTTTTGGTAAGGGAGAATTAGAACCCCGTCATTTTACTAAAACATATAAAGTGTGTGTAAATGGGTGTAAAAGAAATACAAAAAGACATTTTTCCCACAAGATCTTCTTGTGTCTCATCATTTCAAAAAAGCTTTGCATTAAATCTTCATGCTACCTGAAGTTTTATTTATGTAGTTTCAGTTTTATTAAGCTTTCTGATTGGAGAAGGAAATAGCTGCCGCTTCCAATGTTTACCAGCTTCTCCAGCTCTGTTTTTTTTTCTTTTAACATCTTTTATGTGCTGATATGTACGTTTAGAAATTTTAACCTTCAGTATTATTTGATAATACAATTGCATTGTTAGTGGATTGATTTCCTTCATATATTATACATTTCTGTAATTGTTTAAAAAATGATGCATTCATGTGTTTTAATGGACAGAAATAATATTTAGAAAGAGTGGTGCGTGTGTGTGTGTTCATAAAAAGTGTTCACAAAACCTATAAGAATGCAAAGGTTCCTCTTGCAAAAATGCCTTCAGCATTATACTTCAAATGATTCAGCCAACTTCATATAGTTCTCCTTTTCCCAAAGAAAAGCTGTACCATTCCTCAGTTTTATTTGCTTGGCTAACTGCTAAGGAATAAATACGCTTCTCTTCATTACATTGCAATTGAGGTGTAGCAGAATTGAAACTGTGTAAGTTAAGGGTTGTTTATTCAGGCAAAGCAAGCTGAAAAAGTAAAAAACACTCCTACATATTCTGCTTTTTTTAGGCAGTCAGTGGAAATAAAAAAAACTTTTTAGGTAAACAAATTGTTTCATTTTCTATTTTAAGTAAAGCGGGGATTAAAAATTACGGACTGTTTCACTTTGAAATTTTAAACAAGGATATGTATGGTTATTTTTTTCTACTGTTATAAACCATGTGTGGTGAAGGGAATCAGAAGATGTAATCAGAAGAGACAGGACTTTATTCCGATAGACTGAGCGCGTTTAAAGTACCACTATTATTCCTCTGTTTTTTCATATGCTGGGCAGATGGAATCAAAGCACTTTTGCTTTTAAAAGCCATTGGATATTCAACAATGTTCATCCCCTGCCTGTATTTTTCAGTAATATTTTACATATAGAATCATAGAATTCTTTATTGGCCAAGGGTGAGTAGACACACAAGGAACTTGTCTCTGGCGCACAAGCTCACAGTGTATATATAAACAGCAAGTAATGTCATAATAAACAATATTGACAAATCATAAGAAACCAATAGGAGAAGATAGTACAGTGGTTCTCAACCTGTGGGTCAGGACCCCATTTGGGGTCAAACGACCATTTCACGGGGGTCGCCAAACAATGCAGTCTGCCATTTTTTTCTCCCTTTTCCTTAGCTGTACTACTCCCTTTTATTCTATTGGCTTTTGAAAGCCAATAGAATAGACTCTCTTGAATAGAGTCTAATTCTATTGGCTTTCAAAAGCCAATAAGAATTGTCCAGGCTGTCTCTGTCCTGCTGAGCCCGCCAAAAGTCCCATTCTGCAAATGGTGCTGTACCAATTGAGTAGTCCTCGACTTACGACCGGTTGAGTAGTCCTCGACTTACGACAGGTTAGGGGGTCGCGGCATTAAAAGGTTGAGAACCACTGAGATAGTAGGAAAGATAAGATGGTGAGAAAAGATGAGAAATTAGATAGAGCTGTGGGAATGAAGTGGTTCAGAGTGATGGAACGGGGGGGGGGGGATTACCTTTGTATCTGCCGTAGTAGTTTTGGCATTCAATGCCCTATAGCAGCGTCCAGAGGGGAGAAGTTGAAATTGATTATATCCAGGATGTGAGGGGTCCTGCAGATATTTTCTCAGCCCTCTTTCTGGTTCGTGCAGGATAAGAGGTCCATATATAGGGCGCGTTTACGTTTACTTCACAAAGCTTCATGATTTGCAATGAAATCTGAACATGCTTGAGATTCTTTTTAACTGATAAAAAATCTATAAGAATTTAGTTTGAGAAATGCTCTCTGTTATCTATTACATTTTAGTCCTGAGGGGAGCTACACCGATGATGCAAACCAAGAAGTTCGAAGCCCACCCCAACAGCACGGCCCCCATAATGAATTTGATGATGAGTTTGAAGATGACGATCCTTTGCCAGCTATAGGACATTGTAAAGCTATCTATCCGTTTGATGGTAAGGTTAATTGGACTGAAGTCTGCGTATAGGATAAATGTGAGCAACCTTGAATCAATCCAGAATGTTTTTGAGTTTTCATTGTTCAACAAAACACAATTTGTAGCGTTAGAGCAGGGGTCTTCAAACTTGGCAACTTTAAGACTTGTGGACTTCAATTCCCAGAATTCCTCAGCCAGCCAGGAAGTTGAAGCCCACAAGTCTTAAAATTGCCAAGTTTGAAGACCCTTGCGGTCGAGTGTTATACTGTAAGAACAATGGGAACTCAAAACAAGGCCTTTTAATTTGCCACAAAAGTAGGGCTAGTCTCTGCCAAAGGCACCAAATTACCCAAGTTGCAGAAATACCAGCATCTCTGGTTGTTGACTGGAGGCCTCTTCCTAATGCATAATACACTTGGTAAGGTTGTATTTGTATTTCAACCAACTTGAAAAACTCAACAAACCCAGTTGGGCAACATGAAAGCTCAGCAGCATAGCATTACTAGCTATAATTAGCATGCATAAGCCATGCTTATTCATTTGATAGCCTGTCTAAGAAAGCATTATCCAGGTTAATGTTACAGTAGAACCCATGACCTTAAATCTCTCCCTCCAAAGACAGCAGTAAACATATTGGGCCGGTGGCAATCTTTTCTTAACGGGCAATCAGTCACCAGCCAGTTACAGGACATTGGAACACTCAAAACATTTAATCTAAGTTTGGTGTATGTGCACATTCCTCAATGCATGTGTGTATACACACACACACCAACACGCCAACATAACGTTGTGTGTGCATCTTTGCATGCAGTTTTCTTTTTTATATCTTACATATAATTGTACGTAAATTTTTATAATAGCATCTGGTTTAAGTTCTGGGAAATTCATGCCGTACGTCGTTTCTGTTTAATGGCAATAGTATTTCTGCGTTATAACAAAACAAATATGTTAGATTAGAAAAGCAGCCGTTGGCAAGGATTCAACTTTGCAACAAGAAACCAGGTTTTTGTCTGTTGGCTTACATTCGAAACATATGTTCCACTGCAGAGAACTAACTGATCCCCATCTCCCCGAATGAAAAATGAGGGCTGAGAAAGAGACCAGCTTTAAATCCTCCAAGGGAACAAAACAAGTCTAAACTCCTTGTTTTTTGTTTCTTCTTAGGTCACAATGAAGGTACCCTTGCCATGAAAGAGGGGGAGGTTTTGTATATTATAGAGGAAGACAAAGGGGATGGATGGACAAGAGCTCGGAGGCAGAATGGAGAAGAAGGATATGTGCCAACTACCTACATAGATGTAACTCTAGAAAAAAACAGTAAAGGTGCAGTAACCTATATCTAATCTCCAGTTGATCACCTTGTCCATGAACATTGCTTAATGAATACTGAATCACATAATTGGATGGAAAAGTCCAAAACCGTTTAGGAGTCTTTTCAATATGTGATTGACCACAGGAGCCCAAACTAAGATTTCAGTTTTGAAACTGGAAAATGCCTGCGTATCACTTAGATTGTTCTCAGTGCCATCTTTGCTTAATGTACTTGTACGTCTTCTTTTTCCGTACACGGTCAGGACATATTTTGTTGGTTTTCGTTGTTTTAATGTTATTCTTGTAAAGCTTATTATTGCTTCCTTTTAAAAGAGCATTATTTGAGAACAAAATGTTTCGTGATGGTATACCATCTCTGGGCAATCTACATGCAGTATATCTTTTCTTGAACCAGAGCTTGTTCCAGTGTCCAAGCCAATAACTAAACTTAATTAAATGGAAATGGAAGACCGGCTTTAATTTTTTTTTCTGAACAGCAATTCTACTTCTCATTGCCCTCTGCCCACTGATGCCCTGCACACATTTTATAAGAACAGTCTGCAGGCTAATGCAATGTAAAGTTATGCAGTAACGAAAGAAAACTTTCACTTGCAAGGACACATGCCATTGCCTGCACGCAAGGGAGCCTAGAGAGTTGCCATGTAGGCTTACAAACATTCCTATTCTGTAAGTACTTTTGCAGCTTTTCCTTTCAAAATCGAATCTGAGGTTCTTAAAAATGGTCCATGCAGAGGGTTGCTAGTGGTATAGCAGCCCATTTAGCTGGCTGATCGGCTCCTTTTTGCTCTCTCTCGTATTGAGGATTTTGCAACCGAAGAGTCCCTGCCTCTCATGCCAACACTTGAAACGTTTCTCTTGTTAATTGTCTGTTCAAAAAGTGCAGAAAAATTAGCAACTGCTTCCTGCAGGTCTTTCTTACTTGGTTCCATTCATTCCAATAGAAAGTGCCCAAAGGAATCAATGCAGATCAGGTCCTTGTGTTAAAAAGAACAGATAAGGTCTTTGTATACGTGGAGAAGTTTTCGTGCCGGCAACGGATTGTTTTATGAGGTGGTTCATCTGTGGTATCATATGATTAGAATTGGAATGTTCTAATTTGTATTACTTGTGCTGATACTTGTACATTTTCATTTGGATGCTAGGGAGCATTTGGAAGTTAAAATTGCACAAATTTTCTACTGAGCAAACATCTATCCAGAAAGTCTGACATAGAGAACCCTTGCAAAGGATCTGAGCCATTATCTAGTATAATCGTAATAATTTGAGGTGGATGTTTTTAAAAGGGGGAAAAAAAAAGACTGTTCTTCTCTTTTTTTTTGAATGGCCCCTGATAATTCTGTTCTGTTCTTCTTTTCCTCTCGGATTGCAGGTTCCTGAAGCGGGTATCTGAGAAAATGGGCGAGATGTTGAAGGAGGTTACATGCAGCTGCTTTTTTGGGGGAGGGTGTTAGGCCCCAGCAAGATGGGGGAAAAGTCAGTTGCATGAAAGCATGTAGGCATATGTTTCTCACTAACAACGTTAGCATTTCTCTGTGTGTTCAAAATTGTGGTAAGCTAAAGCTCCATTCCAACAGAACCAAACCACCCCAGTTTGAAAACGTACCTTTTCCATAGTTTGAAGTTCTGAAATGCTAGCTGTTTTACCACTTGCATTTTATATTGGCTGTTTCAGCTGCTTCCTTTTCCATATCCATTTTTAAGTCAGCATTCAGTCAAAAATCTTTTGTCATTGACAGTCTTCTGCCTGTGCCACTTCCATGCTCGCCCTAACCTTTTCCTGCATGTCTAGATACGTGTCGGGCATGTTCGCCTAATGTTTTGTACTTCCATAGCTCTTCCTCGTCTCCTGCATTTGTAGCAACCTCCAGCACTAAATTTTTTTTATTTCCCTACCCATTTATGTTGCTGTAATTTGTTTTTTTTTTTTTTTTTTTAATCTTCTTCATTGTGACCATTCCAGTTCTTTGGCGTTACACCGGCTGTATAAGTAACATTCATTCTGCTTTGGGAATAGAATATACATCTCAGCACTAGGCCATTCCAGCCTATCCTCAGCACCTCAATACTTTCTCATGAGCACTGAAAATCCTAGAATACAAAGAGCACAGATTTGCCGCTGTAAGACAACCAACTCTTTTCAGAAATCAAGTGCTTGTCATTCAGATGCTGCCTTAAACTCTCCGAGTGCCTAAATCTGTTGATTGCCAACAATACCACTTCAGTATCCCGCCAAGGGCTATTGGGTCTCAGCTCTGTATGACCTCCTGAATCTTTCTACAGTTCTGCAGCTGTTGGTAGCCAGTGGTAGTTGTTTTCTCGATCTCTACCATTGCACAACCCAAGGTGCATTGTGAACGTGACACATTGAAAACAAAAGTACACGTATCGATTTTGTTTTACGTCCGATGAATGTTTTTTAAATAGGATTTTTATGGAGCCTTTTTTTAATTGCCTATTTTTTTGAGTTGGGGATGGGAGAAGACACCAGTTTTTAACGAACTGCAGTGCTTGTCTATTTCCAAGTATGCTTTATTGTAAGGACCAGTTAAAAATTGGAGTGATACTTTGTTAATTATCTATGTGCACTTTTATTTGTAAACATTGCGATTTGGACACATTTATACATGTAAATATAGTTGTCTGCAGCACCCCGTCATTGCTCATGTTATTTGTCTGCCATTTGTGAATTATGTTAATGAAAACGTCAAATCTAAGCAAAATAGGGGTAATCTTAGTATATGGGAAGGGATGGGAGGGACAAAGAAAAAGTTAAATTAAGCTTCATAAACCAGCTTTCTGCTGTATTTAAAATCCTGCTTTTCTAAAGGTGGGAATCAAAGCAATATTTGGACACAGCAATGCTGGATTCCTTTAGAACTTTTTTTTCAGTGTTACTAGCAGTTGTACTATCAGTAAAACTAAATCTATGTGACTCTTGTGTGGAAATTTCTTCCTTTTACTATTAAGTGTGCCACTATTACACATATGATTTAGTGTAATTTACATTTGAGGGTGATAAAACACTAAAGGTTAGAGTTTTGGGATATTGTAAACAGGGTTATTTATAATAATGTGACCGTATGCCATTACTGACCAAATTACATGGAATAGTTGTTTAATGCTGGCTTTTTATTTTAAAGTTCCAAATAAAAGACAATGATTAGGTTCTCACTCTTTCAGCCAAGAACCCTATGGATTTTACTTAACAGCCAGTTTGAGCTGCTTTTAACACTTCTAGTAAAGGACTAATAGTTCTTTTGTGCTACTGTTTTTGTAGGGCCGGATTGGTTTCCTCAGGAGGATTTTTTTCTTCCTGTGGTATAAAGCAACCTTTATGAGGGTAGTTAAATGTAAGGGGAGGAAAAAATCTTTGTACTTGCACAGTTGGCTAAAATTATTTTGAAATGTTGAGAATTAATTGTCTTGAGTCATAACTTTTCAGTAATTTTTAATCTTTCGTGCACGTGTTGATTTTTTTAAATGTTTAAATGCCTTGTTAAATAATAGTCGTTCTCTTCAAAATATTTTCATGGAATTAAACAATCTTTTCATGGCCCGGATCATTTCTTTGTCTTCTGTTGCAGGCAAGTAATAGGCGGCTTTTGTTTGGTTTGTCATAAATATGCTCAGGTGGTGAAGGGAAGCAAAAATTGCACCAGAAAGACAAATCTTCACATTTTCCTCACTGTTAGTGCTCCAATCCAGAATTATTCCTTGGGATAATTTAATTTCTTAACAAGGTTTCCCAGACAACTTTCAGTTCACTTTTAGAAGCCACCTAATTTGCCAAAGACGCAGACAGATCCAAATTGGGATTACACTAAAGCTTACTAATTACATGAACATTTAGCAACAGCAGCACTTTTGGCAGGTATAAATGACCATGCAACAAAGAATTGTATTTATATTTGGCCTCTGTAAACAAATAAGGAGTACAGAATTTCCTGCACAATGCAAATGCCTGCCAGAGAAAAGTTGGAGAAGAGGCTGAAACAAGACCCTTCAGTGCGGCTTCTGCACCCATGCAAAACAGAAGCTTTTGGGAGGATTTCAAAATTCCTAGAGAATTTTTTTTTTTTTTTTTTGTCCTGACCTACATAGTTGTAGCATGGTGGGTCTCCAATTTCAGGATGTGAAAAGGAAATGATTCTTCCCATTATTATTTTTTATCCTCCTTTTTTTCCTCTCCGTTTTTTTCTTGCCTTCTTAATCCCAGCTGGATCATTCATGTTCAGCTCATAATTTTAAATTTTCTCAAAAACAAATTGTCCTAAAATTTGTGTATTCATTTGAATTCTGAAACTGTAGATTAAGATGCTGCTTGTTTGATGGAAAGGTCTGTGTTTGGAACTGATAATGAAAGTATTCAATCATTGATTCAAAAGCTGTCCTAAAAGGTCTGCTCTCGGTCTGCTTTACTAGCTTATTAAAGTAAAAGCTTCACATTTTCCAGTTGACTGATCAGGCCATGGTGGTTTTAAATGCCTTTTATTAAGTTTGCTTGTTTCCTCTGTCTTGGGATTCATGTCATGCTCACCATGACTTCCAGAGAACAAAGAGGAAGATAGATGTCTTCTTTTTCCTTAAGTTGTCATTGGATATTTGATTAGGAGAGAAAAAGAAGAGATGATGTATTCTTGTTCTCAGTGTACGACCTTAAACGGATTAGTTAGTAAATTGGCTTACTGGTTAAAAACAGCAAAGGTCTGTATAGTTAGAACAAAAAACAAAAAAAAAATCAAATTTTTAAATTTTATTTCCATAATGAAATGTAAATCCTAAAAAAAAGCTAATTTAGCTCACAGTAGTGCAGAACTACCAAAATTTACCTGGTGAAATTTATATATATATCATAGATACTTAATCCATTATTGCTTGTGAAAACTCATAGCATTGAAACCGCTCTCACTCTTAATTTTTTCGCTAGAGAATTATTTTTAAAAACCTGCAATAGTGGAAGACATGCACATATATTTTAAAACCTTTTGGTTGTTGTTGTTTTTTTTAAATCCATATAAATTAGTATGGGTAGAATCAGTCACTTGAAAACAAAACCCACCATGCTGCTGAATGTGAAGATATTTGGATCTGAGACTATTAAACCAAAATACCTGAGGACATTTAAAGTAACTTCGTAGAAAATACGATTGATAAGAGATATGGATAAATGCCATCAAGAGGTTTCAATTTTATTAAGTCCAGAATGCTTAGTTTTGTTGAGGATGTTGGCAATAGTCGTGAACAATGGAAAAAGCATTGAAAAGGCTCAAATTTATGTGACTATAATAAGCGAATGAGTAGAACATAAAATGGACCGTGAATATTGGGCGCTCTGAAAACTGTGTCCAACAAAGTTGTCTATGGAAGGTTCTGGCCTTCCTCTCATCAGCAGGTACATAGTAATTGCTGCCTATTATTTCACACAACCAGAAACACCCATCCATAGGAAAGCTTTCACTCTTGTCCGAGACTGTACCGTGCTCTCCCTTCAGTTTTGGATGGCAAATACAAAAAGTAGCATTGCTCTGCCCTTGTGATTTTGGAGACATGGATAACATGGAAGGATACTACTTTTGGTGTTCTTTTTAGAGAGACATCTGATTTTTCCTCCTGATATTGCTCAGATTCAGCTTATGCTCAGATGCTGCTTGCAGATGAACTGGCGTGTATTACAATGCACATGGCTAGGTTTTGCAGTTTAAAAGAGTCATTTGGACTTTAATAGCTCATGTTCTTGTTTATATAGATAAGTCTATGCAGTTTTAGATACATTTTATGTGTAATTTTAGTTAGCACATTTATAGATTGATACCCACACACCAATCATACATAGAGCGGCCTGGTGGTCTAGTGTTTGTCTCCCACTTAAAAGGTTGAGAGTTCAATCCTAGATAGTGACAAGATATTTCTGTCCTAGGGCATAGAGAAAAAATATCTCCTGAGAACTCAGCATGGCATCAGGAAAGGCATCTGGCCAATGAACACTCAGCTCCATCCAATTGCCCCAACTCTGCCTCAAATTAAGGGTTGCAGATTTGCCACGCTTTTTAATCGGTTTTTGTGATTCACAATTCTAGTGTTTAGTGCTATTGTTTTAATTGCTTTTGATTGCAATTGTGTTTATAATAGGCCGCTCTAAGCCAGTGGTGGCAAACCTATGGCACGGGTGCCAGAGGTGGCACTCAGAGCCCTCTCTGTGGGAATGCACGCCGTCGCCCCAGTCCTAGGCCTTCAGCTGGGTTTTATAAAACCTTTTCGCTTTAGGGCTCCGCCGCCATGTGCAAAAAAAAAAAAAAAAAAGGTTCAATCAGTCAATTTCAACTTCTTGCGGGGAAAAAAAAGATCTTGCAAAGTTGGAATTGATTGATTGAACTTTTTAGTCCCACACAGTCTGCCGTTACCACCGCAGCCATGCCCAGCCAATGGGCCACACCCAGCCAATGGGCCACATCCAGCCAATGGGCCACATCCAGCCAGCACTTGACGATGCATAAGTGGGTTTGGGGTTGCAGTTTGGGCACTCAGTCTCTAAAAGGTTCGCCATCACTGCTCTAAGCTATTATATATGGGAGTGGGCAACATACAAATGTTTTGAGAGGAAGTATATTTTATCAATGATACTCCAAAGTAGGAAGCAATATTTGGCAGCAATAAAGAAAGCGCAGTACATAATCTTGCTACTACCTTAACTGTGTGACTTGATACAGTTAATGTGTTGAATCCCCACACCAGTCATTTTGTGTTTCACTGACATAATAAAATAAGGCATTAAAATATTTCAAGTGTTACTCTTTAATTCACAGCTATTATAAAATTTTCCACATCTATTTAAGGGATATCATACAACTGATATCTCCTAAAAAGATATCTCTTAACTTTTATTTATATTTACAAAATAGACTGTTAATAACATTACTGGATATAAGTCTTAAAATGATCACTTTTTTAATAGCGGATAGGAGGTGTCCATGAAAGGCAACAATCATAGCAAATAAATAATCCTTTATAAATCACAAGTCATTATTAGCAACTCATAAATAAATGTACATAAATACAGTTTACAGATTCTGCTTGATGTCAGAGGAACTTTACAAAAAAAAAACTTTTTGACAGTATAACCACCAGTCTTCCACACCCCCTCTAGGGTTATAGCAGTTTATTTGGAATAAAAGTTAAAATAATAATCCATGAAGTAGTGCCCTGATTTTCAATTGGCTATAGATGCTGTGTTTGCAATATGATTTTTGATTGGCCTGAAACTTTGGGGGGGGGGAGAGTGGGGAAATACAGGTTTTTTTTAAATCACATAGCAGCATAGAAGGGAGTTGGCAGACAGTAGATATTCCTAAGGAAGTATTTTTTTTTTTGGAAGGGTTTTGGGGGGAGGGCAGTCTTTGCAGGAATTCTGGGAGTTGAAGTCCACGAGTCATAAAAGAGCCAAGGTTGCCTGCCCCTGATCTAGTAGATCAGTTTTGTCACAGGGAAATGAGAAATAAGCAACATTTACTACAGCTTTCTTTTTAAAACAATGCTTTCTTGGCAGTTCTGCCAATTTCTTTTTAGCTGAGAGTCCATCAGGCGTTTCTATTTTCAGTCTGCTTGGTAAGGGGGGGTTCTAATTTTCGGGAGAGTGCAGTTAAAATTTGATTGAATTTTTCGTATCTTTCATTTTGGTTGACCTGGGCTCCTTTGCTGCCCCAGAGCAATCTCATCTGAAATTCTGTTTTGAAGATTTCGTTCATTGCATCGTCTGGCTGAAAACCTGGTGAAGAAAAGGAAAATGTACAAACGTTACTATAAAACGTAGTCTTCGGCACCAAGTACTGCGTGTGTTTTAAGCCAAGCTGCATGTCACCTTTGACTGCAGCTGATGATTTGAGGTTGCTGTAGATCAGGGGTAGGCAACCCAAAACACTTAAAAAGCCACTTGGACCCATTTCCCACCAAAAACAAAACACTGGGAGCCGCAAAACCCTTTTGATATCTAAAATGAAGATAACACTGCATATATCCTTTTTTACCTTTATTATAGGTGTGCGTGTCTGTGTGTGTGGGGGTATTTGTGTGTGTGTATGTGTGTGTGTATGTATATGTATGTATGTGTGTGTATATACACACACACACACACACAGGTTAAAAAAAGGATATATGCAGTGTTATCTTCATTTTAGATGTCAAAAGGGTCTCTCTCTCTCTCTCTCCCTCTCTATCTGCCCTTGGTCTGCCACTCCTCTTCCCCCACTCTCTTTCTTTCTCTCTCTCTCTCTCCTCTCTCTCTCTCTCTCCCTCCCTCTCTCTCTTTCTCTCTCTTTCTCCCCCCCTCTCCTATCTGCTGCTCACCTGGCAAGCTTCAAGCTATTGTCCAAGAAGCTCAGGGGTAGGCAACCTCGTCTCTTTTATGACTGATGGACTTCAACTCCCAGAATTCCTGAGTCAGCCTAGCTGGGCTAGCTAGCTCTCTCCTGCCCTTCCTGCTTCCTGCTTCCTGCAGAGATGCAGCAAAGGGAGGAGCTCCGCCCAGTAAGCTTTTCAGCTCCTCGGAAAATATGTGAGTACACTCTCTTTTACACACACACACAAAACACAAATACACACACACACACACACACACACAGATTGACGCAGGGAAGCGCAATTGCCTCTCTCTGTCTCTGTCTCTCTCTACAAAGACAGAGGAGGCTGGGAGCCACAGGGGAAGGCTCAAAGAACCGCATGCGGCTCCGGAGCCGCAGGTTGCCGACCTGTGCTGTAGATTCTCCCTGGAGAAAACATGGCAATATACTGGGCAAAGTACTTGATCTAGTGTAAATCATCTCCCAGTTGCAAATATTTCTTTCCATGTTGAATGAATATGGCATTCGAAATACACATGCAGAGAGTATATACCAGTGATGGTGAATCTTTTAGAGACCGAGTGCCCAAACTGCAACCCAAAACGCACTTATGCATCGTTGGGTGCCAGTGGGTGTGGCCCATGGGCTGGGTGTGGCCCATTGGCTGGGCATGGCGTGGCTGCGGTGGTAACTGCAGACTGGGTGGGACTAAAATGTTCAATCAATCAATTCCAACTTTGCAAGATTTTTTTTCCCACGAGAAGTTGAAATTGACTGATTGATTGAACCCTTTTTTGTTTTTTGTTTTTGCACACGGCGGCAGAGGCCTAAAGCAAAAAGGTTTTATAAAAGCCAGCTGAAGGCCTAGGACTGGGGTGACAGTGTGCATGCCCACAGAGAGGACTCTGAGTGCCGCCTCTGGCACCTGTGCCATAGGTTCGCCACCACTGGTATATACAACAAATTATGGCTTATACAGCAGTATTTCTTAACTTCAGTAGCTCGGGAGATGTGTGGACCTCCACTCCTAGAATTCCTCAGTCGACTTGGCTGGAAAATTCTGTGGAGTGGACGTCCACACATCTTCGAGCCGACTTTGAGAAACGCTGTTGCAGAATCTCAGTTAGATGCTGATTTTTCTACATGGTCACATCTCTGCCTCTGAGGGCAAAAGGAACAACTAAACTAAGCCCTGGCTTTACTCTTTTAAAAATAAACATTCCAACCCATTTTTACCATCTTGGAAGCAGCTTTTCTCCAGAGGAAGCTAAGAATACGTTCTAAAGTTGCTAAATGTGTCACGACAAGTCCCTAGAAAGGCCACATATTTCCTTACAAGCGATATTGTAAAAGTCAGTCCAATCCCAGCTCTTCCTGTTTACAGTTCAGGGAATGAGAAGAGACACGGGTCAACTCGGGTAAAGCCGCTGCTTTCTCTAAATTACCAGAAACATAATCATCCGTCAGGCACACAAATAAGGGTGGAAACAACCTTGCTGTATAAGGTTGCATTTACACAGCCCTGGGCTTGATTCTACCTGTGTCTCTTTTTTATGAGCTTAACTGCTAAAAGCCTTACAGCCATCTCAAGAGGACTATTATCTTTTTTTTCCCCCTACCTGTAAGGATCCTTTCTGCATTTGCGCTATACTGCTCAGCGTTTTGTGCTATCAAACGAGCTGTCGCCAAATGTTTCAGCATGATTTCACAGCTCTGGTCAGTGTTTTCCCACACATCCATTCCCTCAAAGACCACAGCTTGACGCTCCAGCAGGGTAACCAGAGGCACCAGCAATGGCACAGTGACGACGTTTTGCGACACACAAGTGATCTCTGAAAATGAAGAGATGAAAAGCATCTAAAGTGAGCACCAATGAATGTGACAAAACTGATCTACTAGATCAGGGGTAAGCAACCTTGGCTCTTTTATGACTTGTGGACTTCAACTCCCAGAATTCCTGAGCCAGCCATGGCTGGCTCAGGAATTCTGGGAGTTGAAGTCCACGAGTCATAAAAGAGCCAAGGTTGCCTACCCCTGATCTAGATTATGGCCTGCAACTTTCGATACCAAGCAAAGATCCCCTTAGGTTTTTCAGGGCAATGCAGCATCAACACCCTCTGTGACTACAGGTAGGTCCCAACAACTGTTCATTTAATGATGGTTCAAAGTTATGATGGCCTTGGGGGGGGGGGAATGACAACCCGTCCTCAACGTTAACAGCCATTGCCCCACGCCCGTAGTCGCGTGATTGCAATTTGAGCACTTGGCAGCCGGTTTGTATTTACGATGGTTGCATGATTGCAACTTGCAATCTTCCTGACCAGTTTCTACATAAGCAAAGCCAATTGGGGGAAAATGGATTCACTTAATGATTCGTGTAAGTCACTTTAACGGCTGGATTGATTCCCTTGATGACCCTGGTAAAAATGGCAGTAAAATTGGACCCAGTTACATGGGTGACTCACTTAATGACTGTATTTTCTAGTGACTAAAATTCCAGTTCCAATTGTGGTTGTAAGTCAAGGACTGTCTCTCTACAATGTTTGGCCAGGTAGGTCTATTTTGGGGCCTAGTTCTGGTCGGTACAGCCATAGTTGATTTAGTATCAAACATTCTCCATGTCTCTACCGGCACTTTAGTCATCAGAGAATTCATTCTGAGCGCTCCTCCTTCCAGTTGCTGGAAATAAGGAAGAGAATCTTCTCAGTTTCAGTATCCACTTAAGGAATTGCCTATTGATATATAATTGTTTTAAATGCTTGCATTATATATATTTTTTTGTTGTTGTTAATTGCGAAGTCGTGTCCGACCCATCGCGACCCCATGGACAACGTTCCTCCAGGTCTTCCTGTCCTCTACCATCTTCTGGAGTCCATTTAATTCACACCTACTGCTTCAGTGACTCCATCCAGCCATCTCATTCTCTGTCGTCCCCTTCTTCTATTGCCCTCAATCTTTCCCAGCATTAGGCTCTTCTCCAGTGAATCCTTCCTTCTCATTAGGTGGCCAAAGTACTTGAGTTTCAACTTCAGGATCTGGCCTTCTAAAGAGCAGTCAGGGTTGATCTCTTCTAGGACTGACCGGATTGAACGCCTTGCAGTCCAAGGGACTTGCAGGAGTCTTCTCCAGCACCATAGTTCAAAGGCCTCAATTCTTTTGCGCTCAGCCTTTCTTATGGTCCAACTTTCACAGCCATACATTGCAACTGGGAAAACCATGGCCTGGACTATACGCACTTTTGTTGGCAGGGTGATGTCTCTGCTTTTTAGAATGCTGTCTAGATTTGCCATAGCTTTCCTCCCCAGGAGCAAGCGTCTTTTAATTTCTTGGCTGCAGTCCCCATCTGAGGTGATCTTGGAGCCCAGAAAAATAAAATCTGTCACTACCTCCATTTCTTCCCCATCTATTTGCCAGGAATTGAGAGGGCCGGATGCCATGATTTTGGTTTTCTTAATGTTGAGTTTCAAGCCAACTTTTGCACTCTCCTTCTTCACCCGCATCAAGAGGCTCTTTAGTTCCTCTTCACTTTCTGCCATTAGAGTGGTATCATCTGCATATCTTAGGTTGTTGATATTTCTCCCGGCAATCTTAATTCCAACTTTGATTCATCTAGCTCTGCCTTTCTCATGATGTGCTCTGCATATAAGTTAAATAGGCAGGGCGACAGTATACAGCCTTGCCGGACTCCTTTCCCAATTTTGAACCAATCAGTGGTTCCGTGTTCGGTTCTCACTGTTGCATTATATATTACATATACTTTATTATATTTATATGTGCCATGTCTTGTGAATGTACCTTGAAATACAACATTCATGCTCAAAAGTACTTTTATTGTTCCCCCCCCCCCCCGATTTTAACATTTTAAATACTTTTGCAGAAAACATCTGATGATTTGGATTAAAAATATATACAGATACATACAACATATATATCTAAATACCCCATTCAGTGTGAATCGAGTGTAGAGACAGATATTGTTCCCTTTTTAATTCAGCTTTCTTTTCATAAAAGCCCTTTGGCAAGAAAACTGATCATTGATCACTTTTCACCGGAGCTCCAGGAAATTCATTATGCAACCAATTCTTATGACAAAACAGGAGGCCTAGGACAATTACAGGTAGTCCTCAACTTATGACTTCACCTGAGCCCGAAGTTTCTGTTGTTGAGGCATTTGAGTGAAATTGCCCCATTTTTACGACTTTCTTACCACAGTTGTTAAGTGAATCATTGCAGTTAAATTAATAATGCGGTCATGAAGTGGAATCTAGCTTCTCCCTTGACTTTGCTTGTCCGAAGGTTGCAAAAGGGGATCAAATGACCCCAGGACCCTGTAACTGTCATAAATGTGAGTCAGTTGCCAAGCATCCCAATTTTTATCATATGATCATGGAGGATGCCACAACAGTCGTAAGTGAAAAACGGTCATAAGTCACTTTTTTCAGTGCGTTGTAACTTCAAACAGCCACTAAATGAACTGTACTTTGGAGTAGTTAAAAAAAAAATCTAGAGAAAGTCCATCGGCCTTTTTCTTTCACATGAGCAAATTGTACATATATTCTTTGGCTACAGGATCTCTATTCTTCTCCAGATGAGATAAATAACAAAAGCAAAGCATTGCTGTCCTTGATAGGACATGACTCGTTTTTTTAAACACACTTTCCATTCAGGAAATAAAGGATATGCCCTTAAGGCTTAACTGGAATCCCTCGGCAACAATGAAAAACATTATATAACTAGATATCCACACGCTCACCTTTTCCTTCGTATAAGAGTTTGCTGAAAGGTTTCAGCTGTTTCTCATACAAAATGGCCGTTTGTGTGTGACAATGCCTCAAGCTGGTCCACGTTTGCTCCAACCGGGCAATCTACAGAGGGCAAAAAAGAGGGAAGCTCTGAAGAATGCTTTCCTGCTATAAGTTACAATATTATGGAACATAGCCCAATGGAAGATGGCTTCCATCAAAACCAAGGCATGGCACGATAAACGGGGAGGGACTTCTCGTGTGTGTGTGTGTGTGTGTGTGTGTGTGTGTGTATTTTTACGACCAGCCCTCCCCCAACTAGGATGCACTTAAAAGAGTTTCAAAGAGAGCTTTTTGCCTATGATTTCAGGTGGGTTTTTCCCAGGTAGTCATTCAACAAAAACACAGTAAAGGAGTGTGAAAAATCTCCTGCTGATTCCTTTAAACCAGCAGTTCATTTCAATAAATATTCAGCTGCCAGCCGGGAGTGGAGAACAGGGAGATCCCCAGAGGCAGATCTAATGGACCTTGGCAACAGTGGGTTTTGTTTGTATATTGTTGGCCTTTCGAGCAATATTCATTATCCTCAATATCCTCGTATTAAGATTTCCATTTTACCTGAGGCATTTCCAGAGCTTTCATTATAGCTGAGAAGGCATACAGATCGCCCATGGAGTCTTTTAGTTCGACTGCAACCTGGATAATCCTGTTTAAAGTGGCAACACGCTCTTCTAAATTTCCCGTGCAGCCGAGAATATCCACCGCAATTCCTATTGCCATCGTAGAATGCCTAGAGAAAACAAATCAGGCGTAGTCAGGACAACCAAAAGATGCTATACTCCATGTGAATTCAAGCAACAACAGAAAAAAAAGGGGGGGGGGCTTGGGATCTTGGCATCACTATATTCCCATTATCACTTTGATAAGTAGAACCAAAAGAAACCGGTACAGAGAATTGCACGCCTGCCGATTATAGGATTCTTGAGTGTTAAAAAAGGGGAGTATTTTGAACTGATTGATTTTATATTGACCTTTTTTTAAAATTTATAGAGTTATGATAAACACTGTTCTTCCTGTGCTTCAGGTATCGTAGCACACACACTCAAGCTAACTTGATCTAAATTCTATTCTGTTTAAAGATTGGATCTCTTTTGAACTGAGGTCAGATCCTTTGACTTCGTGATCATGTCCCTGTAGTCTTCTGGGCAACTGATTTACCACTCTCTTCTTCTGAGATGCCTTTTCAACTTCCTAGCTGGCAACTCCTGGTCTTTCCTTCTAATCTCCCATCCGAGTATTAACTTTTTGAGATCAGCCAACATTGGGTAAGTGCTGCCCCCTGGCTGGACACTTCACTCTATGTAGACCCACAGAAATCGGTGGAATCTAAAATCTGAATTGCCTTAAATCCAATACATGCTCCATAGATTTATAGCCACTATAAATAAGACTGGATCTAAGATAATTCTTAACATTTTCCTGTGCAATTAATCCAGAATATATTTTAATAAGATTTGAGTAAATGAATGCAACCAATTAAATTCTGCAATGAAACAATAGCACCTCAGAAAGATCAGCATCAGTTGAACCAGTGCAAAAGCATCCACATCCACACTACTGGTGCTTCCATGCTGGGAGAGAGAATAAGGGGGAGAATTTGGTACATACTGTTTAGGAAAGAAGAAGCTTTAGATGCAAAGGATCTATAACCCTTCAGGCCTTCCATTATGCTTTAGGCAAATATGAGGACAGTTCTGAAACTGGACTTCAGTAGTTCTCACCCATTGTGTGCAAAGGGAGGATTTTTGTTTTCTTTTTTACTCTTGAAGTAAACGAGAGAGGCGACACCACCACCACCCGCTTTTACTTCCACTCTATTGCTTGCTGGCTGGCATATGGTGGTTTTTTTTAGAGTCCTTCAGAAAATAGCACTGGATTTTCACAATACATGATGATTATCATGATAAGCTCATATCAGCCTGGCGCTGTGATCCACATTGCACAGCTAGTGCCTTTTTGATACTCTGGGAAAGGTTGAGTGATGTTATCTTGGCATCTGTGGAAGCCCTAACCCTGCCCTAATGAGCAAAGAGCCCTAATTATAATATGCCACTTTCTGTGTTTCCGGGACGAGGAACAACCTTGATGGACAGAACCTTTATCCTAGGAAAGACCTTGTCCTTTAAACAATCTCTAGTGAAAGCATTCGTGAGCTCCATTTGATAAACATGAAGAGATAGTAATGCATCTGTCCAAATTTAAGAAATGAAGAAAAGACTCAGTTCACCTGGAAAAGTCGGGATGGGGGGAAGAGGGAAATATCTGCTGACAGAGAGATGAATGAAAGCGACTATTTGAAGATGTCTCAAGGTGAGTTCTCTTATGGCACAGCAAGAAAAACTATCTGCCAAAAAGGGTATTCATACAAGGGACATTTCTCAAACTGGGAGCAGGAAACCTTAACAACTTGGCTAACATCTCCAAACTGCAGCATTTTACTTTCCCCTCCCCCCCCCCAAAGGTTAGGTAAAGTTGGAATCCTTGGGTTTTTCTAAGCTAACAGTTTATTACTTGATCTGCAGGATCATTTATGTAAGAGATCTGTGCAATACAAGCTGTTAGACCTCAGGTCTTGATATGCAAACTTTCTCGTTAAAACAAGTGTATTTTTTTTTAAAATATGGTGCCTTCAGGTAACTCAGCGTTTCTCAACGTTTGTGTGACGGCGACCCCCGTCACATGAACGTGGTGCGCATGCGTGGCGCGCATGCGTGGCGGCGCCCCCATGCAGGCGCACATGTGTGGCGGTACCCCCATGCGGGCGCACATGCGCAGCGGCGCCCCCATGCGCAGCGCGCATGTGCGACGGCGCCCCGAGGGGGGGAAATGGCGGATCGCATTGTTTGGCGACCCCCGTAAAATGGTCGATCGACCCCAAATGGGGTCGCAACCCATAGGTTGAGAACCGCTGAGGTAACTGTTGACCCCTGATGGCTGCCTGGCCTGGTCTCTGCAATTTTCTTGGCAAGATTTCAGAAGTGGTTTGTCTTCGCTTTCTTCTTCCTAGGCTGAAAGAGACTGACTGGTTCCACTTCACCTAGCTAGCTTTGTAGCTAAGGTAGGATTAGAACTCACAGTCTCCCAGTTTCTAACTTGATGCCTTAACCCCTGCGCTAAACTGGCTCTCTTAACAAGTGTATTTATAATTAAATACTTAAAAGGGAAGTGCGGCTCCTATTTTATCAGGACACCATTTAAAACTCTTCCTTAAATATGGGCATCATCAGGCCTTTCATTCCCAAACTCCAAAGCCCCAACAGGATGCATAGGCAGTTTCTCTGCCCAATCCTGCTTATTTGAGAATAAGACCAGGATTCTGGGCATAAGGAACCTAATCTGATTGTATTCAGAAACATGGGAAGAGTCTACCCACCTGGAAACTGCCCACTTGCAGGTTTTGTGACTGTGGACCTCGAAGGAAGCCCAGAAAGCCACCTCATAACAGCTCAACATTGCAGAAACACAACGGCAGACAGTGCTCACCTTTCAATTAGATCCAGGCGCAATTGGTGTCCGTAGGGCAAGGTAATCAGCTCCAAGCCTGATTTCACTCCCATGATCCTCCTCGTCTCTTCGGAGACCTCAAGTATCCTAGCAACCTGACGGAGGCAAATGTGCAAACAAAAGAAAGCCGAATGGAATCAAGACGGCCCAGACATTAACCTGCATTGAGGGAAAGGGATCTTGGGCGCTCTCCTGGCTTGAGAAGCCCAGGAAAGCCTTTTTTGTGAGGGGACCTCCCAGTTGCTGATGGAAAACCTCCGAGGTCCTTCCCAAAAGGAGTCTCTATTGTTGCATCTCAAGCTGCAGTTTTATCCCCTCCGCTGGAAGGCCTTTCTAGCCATTTCAAAGGCTCCCTCTGCTGCTTTCTGTACGATGCAGAATTTGAAAGAGGGATGTGGCTTGGCCCAAACCCGCTTTTATCCTAGTCAGTCTTTGCTTCTTGGCTCCTGCTTCCCACCCACTCCCCCCAGCCCCACCACTCACTGACGTTAGTATTCCAGGGGTTATTAATGAAACCCTGAAACTTTTAGGAAAACCACACAAACACTCTGAACAGAAGAGAAGATAAGCGGAGACAACAGGTGTATTTCAAGCCACATTTTCTTCACAGGCAGAAAGAACTTAATTATCAATCGGTCTGAGTTGGTTTCTGTAAGCCAGGGAGGTTTGTGGTGCGCGTGCAGGTAGAAAAGTGAAAGCTCCCCTCCTTTTAATGTTTGTCAACACGATGCGCACATAAAGATGGATCAGACTATTCCCATTGTGAATAGGGGAGGAGGCTTGTCAGAGATGTTCTTTCAGATTAGTTTCTTGGCCCAGGCTTAAGCACTGCTTGTCTGACCCATTGCCTTGGTAATACTTCTTCCAACTGTCTTCCCCTCTGCCCTCCACACATGCATATAAAGGGGCAGAGCTTTGATCACACATCTTGACACTTCCTGCAAATGCCTCTAATGTGAAATGGGATTTGTCAAACCTGTACCAGCAGGCATAAATACACCTTTAATCTTCCGTTTGCTCCTGCAAACAAGAGGCCCATGGTCCAGCTCCCCTGCCCATCATCTTTTCTACCCAATGACCTACTGAACTTGACAGCTGTGTCCTTCCCCCCCTCCCACACACACACCCCTTTGAGCTGATACTTAAGGAGACAGCTTTGCTTTCCATCCTTTAGAGGTGAACTTCCTCCCTTTCCCCCCCTCCAAATGATCACTAGAATACTTAACTGGGTCAATGCTACAGAAAGGGAAAAGAATATTTGTTGTAGAAACCCCCAAACCAGTGTTAAATAACCTAATGAATTAATTCCCAGGGGGATGGTGGTTAAATGTGACTCCAAAGATTCCTTCCAACTTTATTATTATTATTATTATTATTATTATTATTATTATTATTATTATTATTATTATTATTATGGATCATCGCACAGTCAGCCAGATGTTCAGACTGGATTTGGCATTTTGTCTACCTATCGAGTCCTTACCAAGGCAGATGTGGATAGGCAGATGTGGATGTTTGATGGTATTACAGATATCATCGCAAGATGGAACCAGTTCCTAGTAAGGCCGCCTTTTGCAATTGACTAATGGCAAATTTGTCAATGCCAATGGCGTTCAAGTGGTGCTCCAGTTGTTTTGGGATTGCACCCAAGGCGCCTATTACTATTATTATTATTTAAATTAATTCCAGGCAATCTCAGTTGTGACATGGAAACATCTACACCCAATCAATTAATCTATTTCCCTTAGCCCACAGTCCTCCAAGAAAAAGTGTTGGAGAGAAAGAGTACCAGATTACAATAAGCCTCCCCATTACAAAATTCATTGTCAAGAACTGGGATTACGGAATATATACCCAAATATTGATGAGTTATTGAGGGATTGATTCTTGCTCTTCTGGCTCACTAATGTTTTAGCCTGAGTGTGCTTGTGCTCCCAAGCAGCTTTTCTGAGTAAAGCAATGAATGACAGGAGGAAATGTGTATAAAGATAGCAAGATGAACTTGATGGTAATGTGCCAAGGCAACAACGGCTAAAGCATTTTAAATCCAGAACATTCACATAGAACATTTGGAAGGAGCTCACATAGAAACTTCCCTAATTCACTGACCTATAAGGAAGAGGTGGGGGGGGGAGAGGAGAAGAGGAAAAGGTGCTATAGCATCGTCAGGCCTGTAAAATTCTGTTATTATGGCCAATCTCAATAAAAGTAGCATGGACATTCTGTGCAGTTGTTTCCCTGGTCTGGTCTACCTAGTGCAGCACACAAAATGCTGCCTTTGGGATATGAGAAAATGACAACAACTTAAAACACTCTGGACAGTTGCATACCATCTATTTCCTAGTCCAAGGGCACTCTCTGCCAATGATTACAAAATGCTAAATTTAGAGCATGGGATGGAAGGAAGGATACCTTCTTGGAATACATGCTTTAAAAACTTTTTTAGTTTTGAGCGTCAACTGCCTGGAGGTTGGGGAAAAAAGAGGGTGGAAAAAGAGGTATTATGTGATTAAAAAAAAATCATCCAGAGTTCAGTAAAATTCAGTTAATGAGGCACAGTAATTCTAGACTAAAAGTCTCATATTTGCCTCAAGAGTAGCTTGTCTGCAAGTTCCAGACCTGTGATTATCTCTTGAGCCACCAACTCTTCCAGTCTTGCGGGCTTCAATTAATCTCCCCCAGTTTTTGGCTTCTTGATTTGTAATCTTCACTATCTGCATCTATAATGTCATTGTTTTAACTCTTCATTTGGATATTTTACCCAAACTCTTCATTCGTTTGGGTAAAATTATTAACTTTTCATAACTTTTCCTTTTTCTTCTCTTCTTCTCTTCCTTCAATATTCTGGAACTTCAACCGTTTCTTTCCCAAATTTATAATTTTCTGATTGTCCTCAGGTAGTCTCTTGATTGCTCTTCAACCCCTTCATCTGAATTATACATAATCCAATAATGCGATACACTATCCCAAGGGTAGGCAACCTTGACTCTTTTATGACTTGTGGACTTCAACTCCCAGAATTCCTGGCTCAGGAATTCTGGGAGTTGAAGTCCATGAGTCATAAAAGAGCCAAGGTTGCCTACCCCTGCACTATCCCGTTCAAAAACATCGCTCCATTAACAAGCATTTTCTAGGCCTGAATGGGATGTTTACGCCAAGATATAGGTTAAATGCATGTCTAAAGGAGGGCACCAACTTGAAGATTCAAGTTTAAAAACCTTGAACTGATCTTGTTGCGGAGGTGTACGTGTCTCACTGCTGTCCAAACAACCTAGGAAACAGTCTCAGGTCATAGATAAAACAAGCCCTCTTCTCCTTAGCTTTGCTGGCTGGGGATAATAGCAATTGCAATTCAAGGCTTATGGAGGACAGTTTGAGAAAGCTGTCCTCAAGGTACATGTTGCAGGAGTTTTCCAAAATTAAGCCAATCTGGATGGCATCAGTGCTTAGATGGGGTACTACTGGGGTGCTCTATTTATACTGACAGTTGGCATCATGGAAGGAGGGATACAAGTAGAACAGCTAACCAATTGGGTGGTTACACAAATTAATTCCATGATGGAGGAAAAGCAGGGGTCAGACAAAGCCTATAAAGATCAAATGGAAAGGTTAATTATTCAAGAGAAGAGTATCAACTTTTGTCAGAATTCACGTAACAGAAAACAGCAAAACACATTTATTGCATTGCTAAATGCAAGGAGAAAGCAGGGAGTAAACATCAACAGACGTACTTAAAGTAGTTTATTAAGGCACAGTGAATCAGATAACTCCTGCTCGGGGCCAAGCATACTCATTTCTCCCTGACAAAATAAAATACCAGTTTTAATACTGACAAAGAATTAAGCGCATCAAAACACACTGGATCCTTGAAAATCCGGTGGGTTTTTTTTTAGGTTAGCTTTCTGGATTTCGTTAGTCTGCTGTCATCCGGACTTTTACATCTTGCTACATGTTTCTACCCCCAACTATAATAAAGGTGGTTGTGTTTAGACTGTATCTCTGGATTGGTTTCCAATTTCCCTTCTGCAAACTTAAAGGCTCTTTAAATTCCCAAAAGAAAGGAATTGTGCTTTTTTTTTTTTTTTTTTAGAAAACAGTGATTTTTCCCTGATTATTCTTTGCTTTATAGATTTATTCTGTTTATGGGCTGTTCTTGAGAATCTTCCAGTGTGATGAACACCATGATGCTGTTTTCTGCTCAGAAAAGTAGGAGGCTGACACAATCTAACTCAACAACATTGTGGATCCAAGCCAAAATAACATGCAAATCAGATTCAGTTTGAACAGGGAAGATGGCAGATAAATTGTATCATTGATTTCTCACCCATTGTACTAATCTCCCCTTACTTTACTTTGGTCCTTACTTTAATGGTGTCTAGGATGTTTCAGGTTGTTTACTAATGATATTTTACTACTTATATTGGGGTTTTATGGTTTTGATCTTTTTTTATGTCTATCTAAATTTGTGGAGGCTACAAATATTGCCAAATCAAATTAAATAATTTGTTCATTACAAAATTTTAGTTTACCGTAAGGCTTTCCCCCCAAACAGTGGGAGAAGATTAGGGAGCATGTTAATACAGATTGATCTGGCATCAATCCAGATGTTAACATGCCATCTAATATTCATTGTTTTTTATGTTTTAACTGGTTGCGTTTTATAGTTTTAAAATGATTTCTGATGCCTCTTAATCTTGGACTGGAGGGCCCCCCCCCAGAGTTGGCTGAAAGATGGGTGGCTATATAAACGTTTTAAACAAACAAATAAGACTGAAGATGTTGAAAAACAGCTGTGTGTCTGCTTCTCTTTATAAGGCTCATGTTGCTCTAAAATTTATGTAAGGATTAGAAGCCATCAATGTATATTGGAGATCCTGTGCGTGATTGCCACCGGGAGATTCACTCCCAATAAATGCCTCTGAAGAAAAGAAAGGCATTTAGACATTCCACCCACAATCCTAATGACAGTCATATATTGCAGCATTAGCCTAATAAGCAGCATCAACCTCATTAGGGACCCAGCCCTCCCTTGGCTGCAGGTGGGTTGCAGTAGATGTCATTAGTGATATTATGCCCGCCTTCCTTCATAATGGATCCAGTGGGCTATTGTGTTTAACTGATCTCATCGAGAGCTCCCTCCTGGGACCATGACAAACACGATGTCAGGAAACAGACAATTCCTCTCTCTACTCAGTTTAAGTGCCCTGTGTACATATAGATTGAAGTCTCCAAATGGGAGCGCTCTAAGTGATGAGGGGGAGAGCTCAAGAAGGTCTTTTCAAGCTTGAGTGCACAGGATCACAGCTGAGGCCAACATGATTTAGACAATCCAGACAGAGGGCTGCTTTTAATAAGTCTCTAATACTTTTAGGGAAAGGAGGTCAAAAGGGCGCTACTAAGGCAATGACATCGAGAAGCGTGATCTTTTCAGGAAACTGGGCGAAAGTCATGCCGGTTGACATTTAAGAGATTATCCGATAGACATTCAAAGGAAGAAGTAATTTTCACAGAAAGGTAGTGTGGAAGACACATCCCTGCAACAAAGACTATATTTAATTCCCCGCTTCTTTGACTCAATTATTCTAGATATTTTAGGGCAGGGGTAGGCAACCTTGGTTGTTTTACGACTCGTGGACTTCAACTCCCAGAATTCCTGAGCCAGCCGGCTGGCTCAGGAATTCTGGGAGTTGAAGTCCACGAGTCATACAAGAGCCAAGGTCGCCTACCCCTGCTTTAGGGTAACCTTTCTTAGGTTGAGTTGGACTATAGCTTCCAAAATGGCCAGCTAGCATATGCAATTTCCATTGGCTGCAGGGAATTCTGGGAGTTGTAGTTGAACATGTTTGGAGGGCACTCAGGTTAGGGAAGGCTGCTTAGCATGTTTCCAAGCAAATTTCCAAGGCTGATTTCCCCATTATTTGGGGAAATCAGTCTGGTTCTCTGGATAGGCACTATGTTGCCACAGTATTATGAAAACTGAACTCTAGTATACTGTATTTGAAGAGCATCAGAGTGGGAAAAACTAGAATCAGCATAGCTACGAGGCTTGGTCTGTCAGCTTCACAAACACTTCCAAATCTGATCCTGGAAATACCTACACCAGCAATTATTCCCACATTATGTCCTAGGGAAATATCAAGAAGAGATAGCAATTTAGGCACAAATCTGATAAGATCTTTAGTTTCTTGCCAAGGATAAAAATTGCTCTTTGTTGACATTCCTGTAACTTTCCTATTAATATCTAACACAAAGAACAAAAATTCCCACAAAAATACGGAGGGTAAGAAACAGAGTGATTGGGTTCTATGAGATATTCCAAACTGAAGGCAAGAAAAGCAGTTTTTTTTTTATTCCACCGAAGTCCTTCAAAGGCAACCAGCTCCCATATATTTCAAAAGCAGGTCCACTAGAGGGCGCACTTAGCATTCCAGTGGACACTCTGGAGATCTTACTTGGCTTTGAACTAAAGGCATTCTGGACAAGTTATGTCAAGAAACCCTGGTCAATTAGGCCTTATCAAATTAAAGAAAGCTAAGAATTCAGATTCCTGAAGTTGAAACTCAAATACTTTGGCCACTTAATGAGAAGGAAGGACTCACTGGAGAAGGGCCTAATGCTGGGAAAGATTGAGGGCAAGAGAAGAAAGGGACGACAGAGAATGAGGTGGCTGGATGGAGTCACTGAAGCAGTAGGTGTGAACTTAAATGGACTCCAGAAGATGGTAGAGGACAGGAAGACCTGGAGGAACATTGTCCATGGGGTCGCGATGGGTCGGACACAACGTCGCAATTAACAACAACAACAAAAGAATTCAGACAAGAATTCTATCCTTTCTTTCAGAGAGTTCTCTCTCTTATCCTTATGTTCTCTCCTTTTGATAGAACGCCCGTTTGGCTGATTTGCAAGAGTTTCTTTTCTTTATAATATATATAACATTTTTTAAAAAAATTAGTTTAAAGAGTATCAAATCCAAGCCTCTGTCCTGAGATAGGAAGCTATGGTCCAGTTCACCCATCATGCTAAATCTATTTATTGAATAGATAAAAGTTGTTTGGGTTGAGCTACAGTACTGTGAACCATGAAAAATAGTTTACAAGCCATCATAGGTAGATTCATTCAACATCACAAAACCAACGATAATGGCTTGCTGAGGTATGGGGAAGTATGTTTCATTAGCTTTCTGGGATAATGTCCAGAATTACTCGCATCCCTTTTGTCCAAGAAGAAGGCCATTTCTCAAATAACTGCCAATATATTTGGGGGCAAATAATATACCAGACTTACTATTCTTCATCCAATTGTGTCTTTGGGCCTAGCCACAGTTTAAACAAGCTGCAACAGAACTAATTCTCTGCTCAAAGCCTTAAGAGAGACGTCCACCTTCAGCAGACTGCTGCCCTCTGATGATCATCCAGAATCACCCTTCATTTTGTAATCTGACCAGTTCTACAACATGCAGCTTCTGCATAGAGACTTGATCCTTCGTTCAGCATGCAAAAGCAGATACTGGTTGGTACACCACCTTCTCAGAATATCCATCCCTAGAGGACTTTTCCTGAGGCTCCCCTTTCCATCGCTTTTTCCACACATAATAAAAACTATTCACCTGGCTTTTTCTTCCTGATTTGGGGGGGGGGGTTGCATCTATTGTTAGTTCTATTTGGGTACATTTGGCATTTTATTTTATGTGACCGAGGAGTGAATCATACGTAGTGTTAAAGTTATTAATACATAAGTAAATGTATATTTAGAGCATGTGATATTCTAAAGCCAGAATATGTTTGCTTCTAGCAGTGCATGAAACAGAACACCAAATTAGCTCTTGGTCTCATTTAATAGGGCTGTTAAAACCACCACCCACCCTGTTTCAATTAAAAATAGAGATTTTTTTTTTTACCTTGCAGTCCATCTTCAGTATATGCTGGGCAATGACTTTTGCCTCGTTATTCACAAACAGCTCTTTCACTCTCTTCAACATTGTGGTCTCCAAGGGCTTGTTTTCTAGGGGAAGAAGTTTTGACTCAAAATGGTTTGGCCTGAAACCAGAGACCTTCTCAATGACAGGTGTGACAAAGATGGGACACTCTTTGCTTCTCTCCAACTGAGCTGTCTGTGGATCCACAGAACTCAGCAAGGAGTCACTGTCCTCCAGGATCAAGGCTGAATGGATCCCATTGTCCTTCGTTGTCAGATGCTCTACAAAGCTGTTTTTCTGACATAAAGGTTGCTTTGTTGGCCTGCCTTCTGTGGGAAGAGCTGCGTGCAGTTCACAATAGAGGACTTCCAAGCCCGGCAGTGGCCTCAGAAATGGCAGTTTACTGGGCTTTGGTGGGGGTCTCAAATGAAGTTGGCTGTCAGACCCCCTGAGCGCATCACTAATTTGCAACTCTGAAGCAAATCTCCGGAAGACCAGGGGGCTCAGATTAGGTTCACTGCCAGTTCTAAAAGCCGGAGGCTTCGTACAAGGACTGTTTTCAGTTTCTGTTCCTTGGGAAGAATATCTTGAACCTGGAAAGTAAAGGGAGAAAAGAAGTGTGATGTTGCTATTTTGAGGGATCAAACTGAAGGTGACCAAAGCTTGATCAGAAAGTCAAAGAAGAAGGAGGATTCCTAAAGTCCCTTGCCAGAATGCCCATAGCCATGTAATTTGTCCAGAAGTGGACCAGGCCTACTTCCATGTCTACGATTCTGCCTGACTTCAGGATATGGCAGTGAGGGCAAGCCTTTTAGAGACCGAGTGCCCAAACTGCAACCCAAAACCCACTTATGTATCGGCGGGTGCTGGGTGGGCATGGCCCATTGGGTGAGCGTGGCCCATTGGGTGGGCGTGGCTGCGGTGGTAACAGCAGACTGGATGGGACTAAAAAGTTCAATCAATCAATTCCAACTTTGCGAGATCTTTTTTTTTCCTCCGGGAGAAGTTGAAATTGATTGATTGATTGAATCTTTTTTTTTTTTTTTTTTGCACACAGCAGCAGATGCCTAAAGTGAAAAGGTTTTATAAAACCCAACCGAAGGCCTAGGACTGGGGTAATGGCGCGCGTGCCCACAGAGAGGGCTCTGCGTGCCACCTGTGGCACGCGTGCCATAGGTTCGCCACCACGGGGATATGGTATTAACAAGGTAATTTCACTGAAGTGAACAGATTTCACATCACAACTGAAGGTTGTGATAGCAGTAGACTGCACTTTGCAGAGGTACAAAACAAAAAAAAAAGGAGAGCTAAGAGCAACTGTAGGGAGAAGAATCCAAATACAGATAGTCCCCAACTTACAACAGTTCATTTAGTGCAGCGGTTCTCAACCTATGGGTCGCGACCCCATTTGGGATCGAACGACCATTTTACGGGGGTTGCCAAACAACGCGATCTGCCATTTTTTCCCCTCAGGGGGCGGCGCCGCGCATGCGCACCGCGCCACGCATGCGCAGCGCGTCCGTGTGACGGGGGTCACCATCATACAAAGGTTGAGAACCGCTGATTTAGTGACCGTTCAAAGCTACAACGGCTCTGAAAAAAGTGACTTATGACCATTTTTCACACTTACAACCATTGCAGCATCCCCATGGCCACCTGATCAAAATTCAGATGCTTAGCAACTGGTTCATATTTACGACGATTACATTCTCCTGGGGTCACGTGATCAGTTTTTACAATCTTCCTGACAAGCAAAATCAACGGAGAAGCCAGATTCACTTAACAACCATGTTACTAACTTAACAAACCACAGTGAATCACTTAACAACTGTGGTCAGAAAAGTCATAAAATGGGACAGAACTCACTTAAACGACTGCCTCGCTTAGCAAACAGAAATTTTGGGCTCCATTATGGTCGTAAGTTGAGAATTACCTGCATAAAGATACGGCAAGTGTAATGAAAGGGGGGAATGGTATGAAAATCCTACAATTTATTTATAACATGGATTTTGAATAACACATGGGAGAAAAAGTGTGGATTGCCACTTTGAGCTTGGCGTGGGCCAATTACTGGGAGGAGAGGAGAAAAGAAGAAATGGGATTATCTTTAAGCTTTGGGATATGAGCTATATACCTTCTTGCATGGGAGTGCCATATCCATAATATGTTCTCCTACAGTTCATATGTGAACCTAATCAGCATGTCAGCCTCGTGAGCTTTCTATTTCCCCGCAGTCCGGGCCTATCACTATTTCCTAGAGGAAAATGTTTCAGGATCCTTGTACTTGAATGCCACATACGTAAGATGCATAGCTGAGGGACAGTTGAGTGACAAATTCCACCCATTTATCATACTCTCCCTGCAGTCCTCCCAGATATACAAAGCAGCTGCAGCGGGAAATCACTCTGTGGTGAATGAGGTATTACCGGCAGTACAGTCAGCAGTGGAAAATCTCCAGGCCTTAGAATAGGAGCCGATCTATAATTGACTCTGATGGGCCCAAGCAGAAATAAGGACTTTGTGACTCACTAAGATGAAAAGAACATTTTCTAGAAAAGGGAAGCTGAGCATACAAGGATTTATGAATGGAATGAACTCCAGAGACTAGCCCCTGTGTTACCCAGAAAGCCAATGGCCTTTAGAATATAGGTTAACACTTACAAGAAGCAACGGATGGAAACTAATCAAGGAAAGAAGCAACCTAGAACTGAGGAGAAACTTCCTGACAGTTAGAACAATTAACCAGTGGAACAACTTGTCTCCGGAAGTGGTGAATGCTCCAACACTGGAAGTTTTAAAGAAGAGACTGGACAGCCATTTGTCTGAAATGTTATAGGGTTTCCTGCTTGAGCAGGGGGTTGGACTAGATGACCTCCAAGATCCCTTCCAACTTCTTCTTCTTCTTCTTCTTCTTCTTCTTCTTCTTCTTCTTCTTATTATTATTATTATTATTATTATTATTATTATTATTATTATTATTATTATTATTATTATTAAGTTATTAAAGCTCAGGATTTGCCAACTGGTTCACAAACAAAGATTCTCCTGACATAAAAGAGACTTGGCTGAACTGCAGTGTCACCCGGCAAAGAGGGAGAGATTGACAAAACTTCTCATCCTCTTAAAGCAGGGGTGTCAAACTCGCGAGGTCACGTGACATGTCGCAATGTATTGAGACTTTTTCCCCATTGCCGGAGCTGGGATGGGCGTGGTTTTGGCATGACACATCTGGCCCATAGGCCGGCAGCTTGACACCCCTGCCTTAAAGTAATATGAAGCAAATTCAGCCACTTCTCCAGTTTTCCTCTATTCCTCAAAACTGGGAGAATGAATAAGGAAATAGGGGAACATTCAAACAAGAGATACAACCCAGATATACCTCAAACACTACCTGTACTATTAATAATGTTCAGGGGGAATATACCTATTTTAACACGATAGATTTATACTTAGATGGCAACAATTTTGTACTATGCTAAAATTATACTTTGCAAATTAAGAAAAGATCGGTCTGATTACTCTCACTTTGAATAATTTATTCTATAATTAATTTTGTTTTGCATCACTTATTTTGCTTTTGGAAGCTTGGAAATTATCAATAGGCAGTTTAGAGAATACTTCAATCCCTCAGTTACCTCAGAGACTGGAAGAGGAATTGCTCAAAAACCATTTTGAAGTGCAAAATGCTTTCTTGAGAAAAAGAAACCAGAAAATAAAGAGGAAAATGGGAATTGGGAATGAAGTTATTGCTTAATTTAAGCACAGAGGTCCACAATTCTTCTTGCTTTGTCAATGTATCATATTTTGGCCCTAAGGGTACTCCTCATGGTGATTCTCTGGACATGTTGGGATACATCTGCGAGACAGATGTTTTCTGCTATAACTAGCTAACATAATTATCATTCTCGGAGGAAGAGGAGAAGATTGAGTGAAAGACTCGGTTGCCATAGATTTTGTTATTTTGTCTTTATGTTCTGTTTCCTTTTTTTAAAGAAATCAAAACTATAGTCGTGTGTGTGTGTGTGTGTGTGTATGTGTGTGTGTTATGGTTCTATATAGTTGGAGGCCACAATAAAGAGACAGTCCTTAGAATTCTTGTCATTTTTTTGTTGAATTTTTAGAACCCTGGCATGTTAATGCTGGGATTTTATTGCCTATGTGTAGGTGAATCCATGTAGCTCTTTATGTTTCTTTTTTATCCTTAAAACAATACATGTAGTAGTACTGCAATATATGGAACAGCAGCAATAGCAGCTAGGAGATAACAAGATCCTCATCCTTACCATTTATTTAAGGTGAAAAGTCCTTCAAGCTGAGTTTAACTTTTGGCGCTTCTTGCCAGTTTACCACTGCCTTCTCCCACAATGTTTTTGTCAACTTCTCAAACTATCCTGCAGCCCTGAAAAATCCCAGGTAGTCTCCCATCTGAATATTAAGAAGTCCCTGCAGATTTTTGTCTGCTAGTCATTATTTATTTATTTATGAGACTTATATACCGCTTTAAGTGCAACTATAGGGGGTGGCACTCATCTCCATTTCGAGGCCATGAAGACATTTCCATGGTCATGTGGCCAACATGATATCACGGAGAACTGTTTCCTTCCCACCAAAGTGGTACCTGTTTATCTACTCACATCTGCATGCTTTTGAACTGCTAGGTGGACAGGAGCGAGGTGAAGACGAGTGCTCGCCCTGTCCTGTGTCGCTTGGGTCTTGAACCCGGGCTCTTGGCTTTCCAACCAACAAGCCCAGTGTCTTAACCACTGAGCCATTGAGCTGCCCCTGAGTACCAACCAGAGCAAATTCTGCTTAGCTTCCCAAAGCAACTAAGGTTGGCTAGTTTCTGTTATCTGCGGGAGCATTGTTTATTTCACCCTTTTTCGAATGCTTCTTCAACTCATTAATTTTTGCAATAGTTAGGAAATTTGCCTCTAATGATATTTGGCAAATAAGATATTTATCTAAAAGTACATTGGATGAGATTGCAGTCTTTAGTTTATCTAAATTGCACTATTCCCGAGACCCAAATAAGGCACAGATAGGTAAGGACTCAAACAGTCCATATTGTATTTATCACTAAATTAAGAAAAGGGAGGCAACCTGGCTAAGACTGAGCTTCTGTTGGGATAAGGAATGGATGAAGAAATCCATATAGATATTTTATAGACACAAGTTATATTAACAGCAACCTACTGCCCCAACTCCATTCACCTTTTAAGTGTAGACCAAACATACCTATTGGCAGATAGCTTTCTGACTGATGAGTCTTTAAGGGGAATCGCTTCTCCGGCAGGTGATCCAAACACGCGGGCTGACTACCGCTTTTTTCTTTGTTTCTGAAACAAAGAAGCAATTGGCACAATGTAGTTCACCTCTTTGGGGAGTCCACCTTCTGCCCTCCGCATCTGATCTGTTTCTTCCAATAGGCCACTTGGCTTTATTGGGTTCAAAGGAAATGCAAAGTTCCAGAGGGGAGAGAAATGTTGCTTTTCAGAGGCCTGCAGCAAACCTTCCCTTCAAAACATGTCTGGGTTATTTAGGTGAGAGCATAGCATGGGAAGGAAGTGGATGCTCCTCTGGGAGCAAGTAAAAGGCTTCAAAATTTAGAAAAGTTAACAGCATTCGGAAAATACCTGTTGGTCTTTCAAGTGGGCTTTGTCTTGACCAGTGTTTCTCAACTTTGGCAACTTCCAAGAAGCGTGGACTTCAACTCCCAGAATCATGGCTGGCTGGAGAATTCAGGGAGTTGAAGTCCACACTTCTTGGAAGTTCCCAAAGTTGAGAAACACTGTTCTAAATGGACAAAGACAAGATAAGTCTATCTTTAATATTTTATTTGTGTTTAACTTCTGCACACCTGAACCAAAATAGCATAAAGCTTTTTTTTTTTAATGCACTACTTCCTAAAGCTTCTGTTACAGCAATCTTGCCTATTCTGGCATGTATCAAATGTCACACAATGTATTACAAACTAATCAACCCTCTTGGAGTCTAACCTGTTTTTGAATCCATGCTATCGGTTAGTTGGTGGTTCACTGTGTGTCAGAAGATTGTGTTAATGGAATAAAGCATGGTTAAGTTAGCTAGGAATCAACCACCAGTGTGAATGAACCTTACTGTAGTATTACTCTCAAGTTGCAGAAGTTGGACCAGAATATCAAAGTTGGGCTAGTAAGATCAGCTCACTCCTTCACACAGTAACCCTGTCCTTACCCTCAACCTAGACTACTTCAAAAGTTTTACTTGAGTAAATGAGAAGGAAACCACATAGATTTCTTTGAGCTCCAGAGGGAGCAAAGAAGGATTTAAATTCACATACACAGGCAAAATGCATGGGCATGCGCGCGCGCACGCACACACACATACACACCAATGAAGGTATTGCCAATTGGTTAATCTGCTTGCCTGATTGTTTAAGGTAACATAACCAAAGAACAAAAAATAAATAAATCAGGAAATAGGTGGACTGGATTTCTGGACATGCTTAAAATTATTCTAAATGGCTATAGAAGCGAGATATTGGCTTGCAAACCCAGAGATGGCTTAGGAGGTGCTGACCATTTTGCATAATATAAATCCCCTTTCTTGACAAGGTACTAATTAAATTGGTCTCTCTCTCTCTCTGTACATATTTTAATGGAGAGAAGCAAAAAGACTCCCTAGCCTTTTTCTGCCACTTGAGCGAACACAACTTTGAGATGTATTTGAAAGGGACAAGGCAGGGAGCAAAGGGTTAAACCGCTTTCCCCAATCATTGGCCCTTCAGAGGTCTCTTCCAGCTTTCAGGAAGATGATACCCTTTGATTCCATTGCAGATCTTCTGCAATGTGATTTGAACGATTGAAAGAAAAGGAAGGGATTTTGCAAACCAATCCATCAACATACCCCTGCTGTTGAACGTTATAAACCACACACAACTCTCTCTCGTGAAACCAAGTGGCGGTACCTTAAAAGATTTCCTAAAGTGGACTCTCTGGCTTGTCGATTGCAGATATTAAGGCTCAGTCTTTGTGGGGTTTCTACTTGCCCCTCTGGAATGCTATCTTCTCTTGGCAGGACTGGAGAAATCCCGTATTTCTCCTCCAGGCATCTCAGAGGAACCGTTCTGTTTATGGGCTGAAATATAATCGCTCCGCTCTGCTTTGATATGGGCTTGCGATTTCCCACATAGCATCGCACCAGGCCAGGGACAGTGTCAAAGCCTTCGTCTTCAAAGTGAAACTGCACCCGGCAGTGAGCTTCGCTGAGCCGCACGATAGTTTTATTGATCTTGAAATGCTGAGAGATGTTTTTCCACTGACAGGTAAGGACAAAATTGCCAGGACTGGAGAGAGAATCTCTGATCAAAAAGTCACCGTCTCTCTGAACGAGGCTCTCAGACACCTTTAAAAGAAAAAAAACAGGCCTGTTTGAAACAAGAGGGAATTATCCACTGCTGGGCTTCCCCAGTCAGTTTTTTTTTTTAATCGTTGTCTCGCATATTTTTTAGTAAGGATATGCATACAACAATCTTCATGGCACAGTGTGGAAGGGACTAGATCAGGGCTTTTCAACTAGTGGTATGGGTACCACCTGTGGTACATTGGCACCTGGCAGGTGGTACGCAACCATCCTAGAAAAGTGGTAGCGGGGGAGGGGAATGAGCTGGACTGGTGGCAGCACTGCATAAGCCTGAGCGAGAGACAGCTGGCACTGCAAGGCTGTCAGGGCTCAGTGGAAGCGCCAGGATCAGTGCCGCTTTCCAGCTGATCGGCACTTCTTCAGGGGTGTCAGGGCTCAGTGGAAGCGCCAGGATCAGCGACAGGCTCCAGCTGGAAAGCAGCACTGATCCTGGTGCTTCTGCTGAGCCCAGAAGAAGCACCTATCAGTTGGAATGTTGCAGTATCTCCAGGGTCTTGTGATTTACATTCAGATGCTTGGCAACTGATTCAAATTTATGACGGTCACAGTTTCCCAGGGTTATGTGAAGTGACCAAAACCTGCTGCAACTACTCAGCAGACGGGGGAATAAAAACCAAACAACTGCCCACCCCACCCCCACTGCCAATCCTCAACAGAAATGCTCACAACAATGAACACCTCGGACAGGAGGAAGAGCGCTGCCGGGTGTGCAGGCAGGTGTCTTGCTCAGCTATGGTTTGGGGGGCACTTTTTTCAGTACCATTGTAACTTTGAACAGTCACTAAGCTTGTGAGATTTACTTGTTGTAAATCAAGGACTACCTGTACTTTATCACTTTTTTCCTTTTTTTTTTTTTTTTGGTCATCAAGTTTTTGACACCTTGCTAAGCGGCTGGTGGTACTTGGATATTGCCATATCCTAAAAGTGGTACAATGGGTGAAAAGGTTGAAAAGCCCTGGACTAGATTACGTGTGGGACGACCTATCTCCAATTCGGTCTGCCCATCTCTTGAGATTCAACAGGATGGCCATGCACTGGTTTTCCCTATGACAGGGATCCCCAATCCCCGGGCCTCAGCCCACTACTGGGTTGTGGCCAGTTCAGAACCGGGCCACGGAAAGAGTTGAGAGAGCATGCATGCAGTTCCTTTGCATGAGTGGCAGTTACATGAGCATGTGCAGCTTCCTTCACACAAGTGACGGGGAGCTTGTGCTTATGTGCGCAGCTCCCCTCAACACAAGTGGCGGGCATGTGCACTTGCACTCCCTCCCCTCACATTAAAGTAGCACGCTCTAAGGCAATAGTCCTCAACCTTTCTGACTTGGCCGCCCAGGTGGGGGAGGAGAAGGGATGGTTCTGTCCAAGTGGCAGGTGTGCATGTGCTTGCAGAGCTCCCATTTGTGTGAGCGGTGGGTGCTTGCATGAGAGGAGCTTCTTGCGAGAGTGCAAGCACCTGCCTCTCGCATCAGGGGAGCTGCATGTGAGAGTGCAAGCGTCCACCGCTCACACAAGGGGAGCTGCTCGCGCATGTGTGTTTGCCTGATGCTTTCCGCAGCCTGGTTCCGAACTAGCCGTAACCTGGTAGTGGGCCATGACCCTGGGTGTTGGGGACCCCTGATCTAAGGGGACCCATCTTGGTTACCTTCTCTGTTGCAATGCTTGCCCTTTATAATGGCACTGACCCTGCTGGCTTTCCATAACTCTTTAAAAAAGTTGGGGGTTCTTTTTCTTTTTCCTTCCCAGGCCTGGATGCCAAATAGTTTGGGTTGTCTGAATAGTTTGGGTTTGGCCTCCGTTTGTGCTCTTTCGTGCTATGCTTTTTCAGTCTCTATGCTTATTGTTTGTTTTTTATATTTTTAATCCTAGGTTAGCAAACCAGAGTCAAAATTTGCAAGTTGGGCAGCCACATAAGTTGCTCAAATAAAAAGTAATATTTAAAAAATGGAGGGTGGATTACAAAGCATTAAAAATATGTTCTGGAATGCTTCATATTTATTTGACAAACATTCAGCAAAAACAGTAAGTCATATTATAGTTTGCTGCACAGTCAGCCAGATGTTTAGACTGGATTTGACATTTTTATCCATCTACTGAGTCCTTCCCAAGTTGTTCCAAGTAAAGCTGCCATTTGCAATTGACTGATGGTGAATTTGTCAATGCCAATTATTATTATTATTTTCCTTCTGCAGCTGATCTTATCCAGTCCCTCAGCTTTTCTGTATTAAGGTTCTGTCAGATTTCAATTTATATAGTCTTTCTTTTCTGGCTTTATTTTCATTTCCTCTGCCTCATACAGACATGTATTAGCTATGGTGTTTGAAGATTACAAAAAGATTAAGCCTATTTCCCACAAGACCAAATTCAGATTGCTTTATAAATATAAGACATTCCAAACTCTCCTATCTGGGGAGAATCATAATTCCGATTCTGAATGTTTTGCAGGAACAATCCGCCATCAGCAGCAATCCCTTCCTTCCTTTCCTTCCCCTTCCCTTCCTTACCCTATCCCAGTGATGGCGAACCTTTTAGAGACCAAGTGCCCAAACTGCAACTCAAAACCCACTTATGCATCATCGGGTGCTGGGTGGGCGTGGCCCATTGGGTGGACATGGCCCATTGGGTGGGCGTGGCTGCAGTGGTAACAGCAGACTGGGTGGGACTAAAAAGTTCAATCAATCAATTCCAACTTTGCGAGATCTTTTTTTTTCTCGTGAGAAGTTGAAATTGATTGATTGATTGAACCTTTTTTTTTTTTGCACATGGCGACGGAGGCCTAAAGCGAAAAGGTTTTATAAAACCCAGCTGAAGGCCTAGGATTGGGGCGATGGCACACATGCCCACAGAGAGGGCTCTGCGTGCCACCTATGGCACGCACTACCACTGCCCTATCCTAACCTACCCTATCCTAACCTACCCTATCCTACCTCTAGACTAGAGCAAGCAAACTGGACTAATTATGGTAAATTCCACTTTTTGAAGAAAATATATGCTCTCTTTCACAGCAATCAGTTCAGTAATACTTGATAATATGCTACCCCATCACATTGGAGTGCTCAGAGAGCATTCCATGAGGTTTAACACTCACCTAGATCATTTTATTTTCAACTGAGAGGAAAGATTTCCTGTTGTGTTTTCAATCTCATTCAACTATTTACAGCAGCTATTACCTGGGAGACTCTATACCGCAATAAAATTGTTAATCTCTGAGGCTGCATAAGCACTCTTAACCTTCTGACTGCTATAAAGTCAACATTAATATTTTTCTGGAATTATTCAGGGTATGCATACTAATTGGGAAAAGAAAAGTGATCAGCACACAATGAGGTTTAAACATGCCAGTGCTAATAAAATGTAAAGCTTTGATGATGTAAGCAGCCTGGTGCCTTCTAGATAGTTTGAAAGTATAATTCCTGTAATACTAGCCATGGCCGGTAGGTACTATACTCCATATCATTATGAGGACAACAGATTAGTGATAACTGACGTAGTTTGACAGTACTCACAGTGACAATTTCATAGGTCACCCAATCCCATCATGATGTCCATCAGAGTGAAACTATCCTTGATGTTAATTGCACAAATACCATGCATATATTTTAAAACTACACATTGTAACTACAGAAAGAATGAAGGCAGCTGCTAGGCCAAACCCTCCTTGTGGTAGACTTAATCTTAGAACACAGTATTGCATTGCAGGCTAACTCTGCCCACAGTCTGGAATTTCATCCTGATGAATTCAAGGTTGACTCAGCCTTCCATCCTTCCGAGGTCGGTAAAATGAGGACCCAGATTGTTGAGGGCAATATACTGACTCTGTAAATCGTTAGAGAGTGCTGTAAAGCACTGTGAAGTGATATATAGGGTCGAACTGCTATTGCTATTGCTAATCAAAACTCTCCCTCTGACGCTTGTATTTGTACTGAGGGCAACTTCAGTCAATTCAATTTCTAAGGCATATTGCAGAAGACATCTGAACCACAGCAGGGTGAGACCATTCGCGCTACTTTTTATTTTTTTTTATTACATTTTTTTAAACTTCACATCTCCCTCAGAGAGGATCCCTGGGCGGTGTACACATAAAATATTAAAAACATAAAAAACATATATAAAATTTAAAGAGAGGCAAGTGATGTTAAACCTTAATTAAAAGACCACTTACAGCTTTAAACGACCTTTAGACCACCTGCAACTGCTTATTTGAAATATGAAAACATAAAATCAATATAGATTTTGCCCTGACTGCCACCAACGGACAATCTTTTATTTTGGAAACTCCAAAATACTGAATTGGATCTAGCTGAGCCAGAACAGACTCATTCAATCAATGGAATTCAAATTGCTAGGTAAGTATAAATAAATAGGACTGTAGACTCTTGTGAACAATATATTCTTTTATTGGTTTTTGTTAAGAAACCAGTTCTTTCAGTGGCTTCTTTACCTGTATCCAACACACTTACTGGCAACCTGAAATACTATTTTAATTGTCTTTCCCTTTTTTTTAATCAGACAACCTTTAATTATCAAACATTGCAAGATTGATTCCCACAGGAGTAGTTATAACTGAGGAGATTTGCATTTTGATTACTAGCTCATGCTGTTTTAGTTGCCCAGGATTAAAATAGTAACAGCTCTTCTCCTTCAGGTACCAAAGTGCATATAGGTGTCATGATAAAAACCAGGTTGAGAACAGAAATGTAGTTGATTGCTTTTAGCTATCTTACACATCCCTAAAATAGACATTTTGAAATGTCAGTACTATTATTTTCAGCCTGAATTAAGCTTTTCTCTAACCAGTTGTGCATATAACATACTGTTGGAAAAGCAAACAGCAATCAGAATAAATTATGCAAGTTAAATATATTTGGCCTATTTTGATATACCGGCATTTAGTATTTATTAATGTTTTCAAATAATTTGGAAAGTCTTTTCTCTAGAAAAAGTTTAGCAGAGAACAACAGAAAAAGGATCCCCAAAATGATTCATGGCAAATGCATGAGAGCTAGAAACATGCTTGTTTCTTTTAAAGAAAGTGAAGATTTTCAGAATAAGTTAGCATAAAATATGCAAATCCAGGCAACAAATTCTGTGGTTAGGTGGCAGTTTCAGCAAAACTGAAAAACACTGAAAAATGACAAAACTGACAGTAGAACACACAGTGAGTGTCAGAGGTAGATAACTAACTTCAGAGGCAGATAACTAACTCTAACATATTTCCAACAATTCACCAACAAGGAACAGATCACTATACCCTACCCCAGGACATGTCAAAAGAACCAGGCCTTTGTGGCTTTATGAAAGCACAAAAGAGTCAGGGCCATGCAGACTTCAGGGAGCACAGTGTCTACAGGACAGGCACAGCTGACAAGAAGATACATCTTCTCAATCCCACAAGATTGAGAAGATGCACGCTGGCTGAAAAATTCTGGGAGTTGAAGTCCACAAGTCACAAAAGGGCCAAGTTTGAAGTCCCCTGCTTTACAGCTTGGAGCACACCAACTGGTTCAGATTGTACTGGTCAAGCAGAAACAACTGGAGAAAGACAACCCTCCAGCTAACCATGTCCTAAGACTTGGACTAATCCAGTATGTTTCATTTTTCCACCAACTGTTCCTTCGTTCTACCTGCAGAAATCTTAAGAGCAATTCCTGTAGCTTGTCTCGTTAAAAGATGAGCTGTTGGGTCTACTTGAACTGTTGGGTCTACTTGAATCTTGGCAGGATTTGGTATTACAGAAAAGTAGGGAGAACACCAAAGACTCTCCAGGGTTAACTAAAAAAAAAGACCAAAAGGAACACACCTGTCGTGGAATCCGCCCATGATACCAAGCATGGCTCCGTAAATCATCACTGCTCATCTGCAATTCTTCTTCCAGCTCCTTCTTCAGTTTTTCTGGGGAACTGTCCATCACCTGCTTCTCCTTTAAAAACTGCAAAAGAGAACGAGATTGGAAGGCTGGGTTATGCCGAATCAGGCCGTAAACAAGCAAAAGAAAAGAAAAACCTACCAGTATCCAGCCAGAAACTTTCATTTTGCCTCACATGCCAGGAGGTCTGCAATAACCAGCATTTTGCCAGCTTTTGATCTTTAAGCTGCATTTGCTAAAACTACTGCTGGATGAGCAACTTAGGTAATGATTACTTGCAAAGGGGTGGATCACTCATGTCCCACCTGGATGTTTTGGGATAAGCATGAGTGTTCTGTGGTCATTTATGTCCCTTCCTGCAAGGAATGCAGAAAGAAAGTAAAAAAGGAACTGCACTTAGGAGAAAGAGCTGGCCTGAAGCAGAAGGTTCAAGTTTAAACCTGTTGATCAGGCAATGTACATTTACACTGAGTTTGCTCAGCATACACATTTTGGTTATGGAATCAATTCTTTTTCTAACTTTGCAGAAACCATCCTAAACCAGGATTTCTAGGTTAGACTCAGCCTTCCCAAACACCTCAAGGTGTAACCAAGTGTTCACACATTATGCAAATACACCTGAAAGGTCTTATGTGACCTGGTCAAGTTTGCGTGCATGTAACAGCAAAGACTAGTTTAAAGAGGTGTGAGGTGGGAGGCACCAAGTAAGCTTTGTTATGAGTTGTGATCAATGCATTTGAAACTCTATGATCAAGTTTTGTAAGTCCTGAACACCAGCTTTTGGGCCAATAATAAAAGAACTCTGCCTATGGTGCAGCAATCACTCACAAGTGCTTTATTATAATTTCACTACTTCACTATTTCTAATACATCAGTATGGTAACTATTACATAATCCTATTTTGCTTCCATATACCTATATGAAGGGCCTATTACTGACATATTTCCAGAAGCTTTGATCTCAGGTGCAGAAAGATTCCTATTCTCATAGCTTGTTTAAAGAATAAGCTGCAGTATATTGCAGACAGACTGAATAGCAGCGTGACTGACCTAATCTCTCAACCCCAGATTAAATGATTTTTTATGAAGCAGCAACACAATGCAGCGTGAAGCTCCTGGCTGCAGTACTCTATCATTGCTAATAATCCAGTTTTCCTTTGCTGGTCCATTGTGGATTTCTTAAAAACTGTAGAAACATAAAATCAATAATCCAATAATAACTTCATTCCTCCACATCTTCTTTCTGTCCTATTTTGCCTCCATATAGGTAGAGGTGAAAACTTAATAGTGTGTGGGAGAATGAAGTGTTAGACTAGTTCAGTGTTTCTCAACCTTGACAATTTTAAGGCATGTGGACTTCAACTCCCAGAATTCCACAGCCAGCAATGCTGGCTGTGGAATTCTGGGAGTTGAAGTCCACATGCCTTAAAATTGTCAAGGTTGAGAAACACTGGACTAGTTACAGTGGACCAGAAGAGAAAGTTGGACCTAGCTTTCTTCTTTCAACAACACAACTGACCAGGAGAGGGCAGTTTAAACTTCAAATAATCCTGAAGCAGTTTGGTATTAAAGCAAAATAGGTAGTGACAAGGATTTCATAATTACACAAATGCTTATCCCACCCTTGATACTGTTCTGAGAATCCTGATAATTAGGAGATGCAGAGTTAAATTAAACATGGGCTGCAACTTGTATTCTCCAGATGCTTTAAAGTTTCATGAATACTGCCATAGTGGTATGGGAATTGTAGTCCAGAGCATCAGGAGTACTCCAAGTTTCTGCATTAAACCATCTATGAATTAAATTAATCCTATTTTAATTTAATCCCCCTTCTTTAATTTACTTTTCTTAGATAACACACAGGGATTGCAGTGGCATTTTAATTAAAGTTATGTCTCTACACTTGCAGATTTTGCCTGAAATCAGGTATCAGTGTAAATGTAAAATAATTTTACTCCTTTCAGGACACATCTGCTTTCTTTCCTACTTTTGTCATTTACATTTTGCAACTTTACCCGAGAACACTGAAAGAGCAACATATCTCTTATAAAATCTCCAAATCATTATACATTATTGAATCATGAAAAAAAAATTCTTCAAAATAAAAGTTATCTGAAGCCACTGCTGCATAGGTTCTTGAAACAAAATTAGGAAATCAGGATACATTTGAAACGGAAACAGACTGTCCACCTCTGAGTTAAAGAATGTCTTGCCAGGAGTGGATAATCTATCACCCCTGAAGGCTGTATGTATTCTTTCAACTCCTTTCTTCCACTAAAAAGTCATCAGTTTCCCAGAGGAGAAGAAAAGATATCTTTAAGCTTTCAGATAGGCTTATTGTTCCCTCAAAATTAAAAGTATCCCCTCCGCAAATCTTCAGAAAATCCTAGAAATCATCAGGTAGGCAACCTTGGCTCTTTTATGACTCGTGGACTTCAACTCCCAGAATTCCTGAGCCAGCTGAGCCAGCATGGCTGGCTCAGGAATTCTGGGAGTTGAAGTCCACGAGTCATAAAAGAGCCAAGGTTGCCTACCCCTGGTAGAGACACTCAGGAAAACATCTGTGTTCCAGAAGCAATGTTCTTTTTTCTTGCTGAAGGTCTTTGTCAAATTGGAAATATAGTCAGCAATGACCCAGTTCTAATCAAGATGTCTCCAACTGTCCTCTCACCAACCTGCAGCTAATGTTTTTTTTAAAATAGATATTTCATATCTGTGAAAAAAGTGGAGAAACTCAGGACCCACAGGGGCCTCCTCATAATCAGCATTTTGACTAATCTGATCCCATCGGCAGCATTTCAAATATTTCAGTTTGACACAAAAGAGCAAAACACAAGACCTTCTGCAATTCAGCCTCCCTTGATTGAAACTATCAATGAAAAAGCCAACAAAAAAGAATAACAAGATTCTCAGGCATTTGTAGCATCCTGCTGTTTTCTAAAGAAATCTCTGCTTACAACGCCTGAGAAAGAAGCAGAACTAAGTAGCATTAAGTTGGAAACGCCATGAATGTATGCTAAAAGCTACCATACAATAATAACCACCGAAACATTTTTCCCATGACTACAGGCTTTTTTTTTCCTTTTTCTTTTTAAGCAACTTGGATGAATTCCCGGGCTTCTAGTGATGTGAATGAATCTTTATACTACTTGAAAGGCTAAAGGAGAAAAGTTCTTATTCTCTAATCTAGCCTTTCTATGAATAGTCTGAAATCCTGGGGGCTTCCACTTTCCTGGATTCTTCTTATAGCCATACAGTACTTTGATATATGGCGTTTTTAATGCACTTCCAACAATTGTCTTTTGGGATGTAGTTAATCTATTAAGAATTAGCATTTAATCAATGTTTGGCAAAACAGGTTTTTTTTTTAATTCAAACAACCCTTAATGTTGAATCAAACATGGCCATTAATTTTAGTAGACTTATTATTATTCTGAATCCAGGAGGAAGAGACCAGGAGGGACAACTTAGCTTAGGAGTGTCTGAGCTGCCTGTGGCCCATCAAGTCATTTTCTGTGGAGTGTAAATGTTGTATAGTTGTAGAGACATCTAGGTTGGATCACAGGAAGCGCTCCAGAAAGTACAGTAGCCTGAGGGTCTCAATTCAACCAAGTGGGGGGGGGGCTTTCCATGGCATCTTCTAGGCACAGGCAGCAGAAAGGTGAGACTTGACCAGGGAGATGGTCAGGAAGCTGAGTCAGGGTAAGGAGGAGGGCTGGGTTTTAGCCACCCTTCCACACAGTCTGGCTTTACTGAGCAAGAGGTGAAAAAGAGAGTGAAGATGTAAGCAATATCTTTCTGAAAGGAGGGAAATATCCATCTGCTCAGCAAAGAGATAGAAGAAAAACAAAAGCAGAAATAGACCAGATAGGAAATCCAGGAAGATTAAAACCAACTGATATAATACAGTATATTCTTTCTTTCCCATTTCCAATAATTTCTTTTCTTGATGTTTCTCATACTGTTGGTCTAATCCAGTGGTTCTCAACCTGTGGGTCGGGACCCCATTTGGGGTCGAACAACCATTTCACGGGGGTCGCCAAACAACGCAGTCCGCCATTTCCCCCCCCCTTTTCCTTAGCTGTGCTACTCCCTTTTATTCTATTGGCTTTTGAAAGCCAATAGAATAGACTCTCTTGAATAGAGTCTAATTCTATTGGCTTTCAAAAGCCAATAGGAATTGTCCAGGCTGTCTCTGCCCTGCTGAGCCCACCAAAATTCCCATTCTGCAAATGGTGCTGCACCAGTTGAGTAGTCCTCAACTTACGACCGGTTGAATAGTCCTCAACTTACGACCGGTTGGGGGTCACGGCATTAAAAAGGTTGAGAACCACTGGTCTAATCAATCTGCCTATTCTGTTCTGTTGGACACTTAGTCTTTCTATTTCATTCGTTCTCTCAAATTATTGTTATTGGTTTCTGTTTATGGTTAACACTTTCTATTGGATAACTACTGATTTTTGCCATTTGCGGTACTTCCTCCTCCTCCTCCTCCTCTTCCTCCTCCTCCTTCAACCTCAGTGAACTGGGAGTTTCTGCCTCAGCTGCTTCCAAATATTATCTCATTTGGAGTTTAAAAAAATGTTTCAGCCCCCTTTTGCTTTGGTAACAATTCTTACATTTCCATCACGGTCATCTGCCTTATGTTCTACACCAAATTTGAGCAGAATTCTAAGCTGATTTAATTTCATTCTAGATATGATCTTGGTATACTCCATTGGAAGATTTTGAAGGACCAGGTTGGGAATAGATCCTCCTGGGGAAAAAAGATTTTACTATGAGATTGACATCAACTTGACGCCACAAAATCACCAAAGTGGCCTATGAAGTGGCCATCTGACCATGACTTGTGACTTTACCGCTGGCCTCTCCATTGACTATGCTTGTTGGAAACCAATTATGAAGTGTGCAAATGGCAATCTCATGGCCATGGGACAATGTGATAGTCATAAATGCCCACTGTTTGCAAAGTGCCCAAATCTCGATCACATGACCATTGGGACACTGTGGCAGTTGTAAGTGCAAGGATAGGTCGTAAAGTTACTTTTTAAGCACCATTGTAAG